TTACACAATACAAAGTACTACGATCTAATGGCTATCCCGTGGAGCGTGGAAAATGGCCCTAAAAAGAACCAGTAAATCTATATATATATAAAAGAAAGTCGTGTTAGTTACACCACTTATAACTCAAGAACGATAGAACAGACTTAATTAAAAATTGGTATGGAGGTAGCTTAGAGCCAGGAGACGGACATAAGATACTTTTTAACCCGTTCGAAAAAAAAAGTTTAGTTTAGTTTTAGTTTCCTGGAAAAACAGGATTGCGCGTACGAAGTCGCGGGCAGAAGCTAGTTACAGATAAATAAAGACATGGAGTCTTTCGAAAAACACAGGGTCTCAACAATCTTTTGATTTTATATCGACCTATATCATCCGTTCTATATCGACGTCTAATCTATCTTCAGTTCATGGCATGTATAGGAGAGCGTTTGCAGTAATTTACGCCTGGCAGGGGAGTAGGACATCGCCATTTAATAGTTTTAGGTTTATCAGAGAGCGCTGCAACCGTGTCTCTCACATTGTACATACGTTCAGTCCTTTATTCAATTGTATGACTAATAAACACATAACATCACGCCTTTTTATTCCCGAAGAGGTAGACAGATTACGGCACTTATTGCCACTGTACAACGTAACACCCACTCTTCACTATTTATGTTATGAGTCCCATGTAATAGGGGGTGAGTCTAATGCCATATACCGGGCACAATTTCAGACTCCGTGCTACTACTGCGTATTCCTTAAAAACTCAGAAAAACTTTGCCCGACCCGGAAATCGAACCTGAGACCCCTTGCCCGGTATGACAAATAGAGATGGTAATAATTACTCTAGGGTACTATCAACACACGATTTAACATTGAATTCCCAAAAACATAAATTCAGTGCACAATTCTCGTGCCACTAAACAGCACACGTTACACTTTATGACAGGAAATAACGTAATAATATCAGTGGCTGGCCACACAGCTAAAACTTTCAGGTGCAAACAGTTATAACAGTCACAAAATGGCCGCGTTATTAATTGCTTACACCTGTGCCAAGACCTCATTACAAAAGTGGGATGAAAGTTTTGTAATGCGTGCTTATAATATGTATTATTGTATTCATATAATAAACTAGCTCCTTCCGCGCGGTTTCACACGCTCTGCTCAGCTCCTATTGGTCGTAGCGTGATGTTTTATAGCCTGTAGCTATCCTCGATAAATGCGCTATCCAACACAAAAAGAATTATTCAAATCAGACTTGTAGTTACGGTTATTCACGTAACTGTTTGACGAAGGCTTTAATATAAACAGAGGTAAAATCTCTAAACTGTCAAACACCAAGCGGTCACCGGTGACCGCAACCTATTGTTCTTTAATTGTGTCTATAAATACGGTACTCGACGAGTTAAACCCGATAATAACTAATGTTTTTGTTTAATATTCCTATGTTAGTAGGTAATCATACTATCCAGACCCAGGTACATACATATACAATACTTAAGTTTCTAAAAGTCATTGTTTATATCTGTTTACATCCATCTAAATCCGAAGCGATGAGACAACGCCATGATGACTGAGCTTGCGTAGCTTGTTAGTGTGTGTCATTAATTCATTATACATTGCGTATTTATATTGCATCTGTCATTGCAAGTGATATTTTTACAAGTACGTCATTTGTTTTTAAATATCAGTACCGATATATTGTGCCTTTTTACGAGTTTAAGCCCGCCACCACCTCTCAAAACCGCTGTAATTCCTGTAAGCCAGGATCTACAGTAGATACAACCATAAAACACCGGAACACTGAAGTCCGGTGCGTCCCAGGGACATGCATAACTGTCTTGGTTCCCGCAACGAAATGAATCAGAAGATAAGAGAAGAAGAAACAAACGATAGTTTCCACTATCCTCGGTGAATTACTACAGGAGATAGAATGAATTAAGCCTAAAGGCACAAAAGTGACACGACTGGGAGAAGCCTAATCGACAAACACCACGGAATTTATATTGCGCTTGCACATCAAGCTATCCCTTTTTTCGCGTTACATTTGGCCCAGAATTGAATGTAATCGTTTCAGTTTTCTTTGTGCTTAGAATTATTCATATTTAATAGGTTCAAGTTAACTGCAAAACTATTACATGCTTCGTACAGAGGGATGCAATATAGTCGATTTTACATTGAACAATGAGTGATACAAAGTCAGTTTTTGATGATGATAATAATAATATAGTTTGTAGTCTCATATCGAAATCAAAGTACCTACGTGAATAAGACATCAGATCTTCATTAAAAGATCAAATTAATAACTTTTTGACTACATTTAACAATGTGAAGATGACATACCAATCATAGAGAAAATCAAAGTCAAAGCATTTATTTCAATTAATCCTTAATTAGGTACCCTTTTGAAACGTCAAAAATTGAATTGTTCGTCCGTCTGTCCGTCAGTGAAGCTAGGCGCTCGTTCCAAAGTGTAGTTTCGAATGGATAAGAACGAGTATAAAACTACATGGTTACTCTTTTTAAAAAACATGTTTTATTATAGTCTCATTGATACATTACTGGTCCTTTACTTAATGTATATATCTACCTATATATGTGAGAACCATGTAACGATAATACAACGTCAAAATTTAATGAGACTATGGGATATAGAATATCTATTTACTTTGCAAATCAATAGTGTCACTTTTATTTGTTTTCATGTGATTAGAAAAGATAACGATGATATTAATGGAAGTGATCACTGAGTACCAATTACTTTTATTTACCTTAATCCGTGTAAAGAACAATTAAATAATTGCTAAAGCTAATTCGTCAGCAAATAATATATGTCTTTATGAGACAAGCCCACCTCCCAAAACCGCTGCAACTCCTGTAAGCCAGGATCTACAGTCATATCAACTATGAAAACACCGGAACACTGAAGTCCGGCGCGTCCCAGGGGCATTAAAAACTGTCTTGGTTCCCTCCACGAAGTGAATCAGAAGATATTATAAGAAGAGAAGAAAATAAACGACAGTTTCCCCTTCCCTCGGTGAATTACTAAAAAAGCTCTACTAGTTTCGAGCACCGAGGGACTCTTCCTTAGCCTTCTGTAGGTACTGTGTCATTTGACGAGATTAACCCGCAATTTTTAGTTAATTTAGTATGTCTCACGATAGTTATTATAAAAACATATCTCTATACCTCTATATACTCTTCACTCATATACTCTTAACATATTGGATTTTGATTGAAATATTGAATGCGTATATCATCTCTTGCAGCAGCTTAATCAAATCAGTTTAGATTAAACTGTCAAACACCAAGCGGTTACCGGTGACCGCAACCTATTGTTCTATAATTGTGTCTATAATGACGGTACTCGACGAGTTAAGTCAGCATTTAATCGAATCTAGTTAAGATATAGTGCCAAAACCTATTACATATCTACAATAAGGATAAGGGGGAAAGGCTAAAAGAAAGACAACTGATTTAATTCATTTCAATAACAGTAATATGGATTAAGGCCTCAAATTTTTGTTCCATTCAACCAATACATAATATTAGTCATAAAGTTTACACATCGACGCACGCGTCGATTATCATATAGTTAGCTATCATAGTACTCAATGGTTAGAAGGTCAACTTCAGACAAACATTAATAGAAGACTAACAAACATAACATAACATAACATCACGCCTTTTATTCCCAAAGGGTGTAGGCAGAGGTGCACATTACGGCACTAAATGCCGCTGTACAATGTAGCACCCACCTTTCACTATTTATGTTATGAGTCCCATGTAATAGGGTATGAGCCTATTGCCATATACCGGGCACAAACCCAGAGTCTGTACGACCACTGAGATTTTTTTTAAACCCACTAGTACTTTGCCCGGCCTGTGAATCGAACCCGTGACCACTCGGCCCACGAGGCAGTCAAGACTAAAAAATTAATTTTATAACTTATATATTCCTAGACAAAGTCCTAGGATTTGATTGGTTTTTATTATTATTTTATTAGAACAAAGTCCTTCAGACATTACTAATTGTAGCTCCCGTAAGACAGGTACATATGTGTGGTTAAAACATGGATATTTTAGCCGAAGTATATTGTACAAATGTTCTACGTTCATTTCCGTTTAATAAAAATTCTCAGTAGTAGCACGGAGTCTGGAATTGTGCCCGGTGTATGGCAATAGGTTCACCCCCTATTACATGGGCTCATAACGTAAATAGTGAAAAGTGGGTGTTACATTGTACAGTGGCATTAAGCGCCGTAATGTGAACCTCTACCTTCCCCTTCTGAGATAAAAGGCGTGATGTTATGTTACGATGATCGTTAATTCTTAGTATCTAGTCGCAATTTAAAAATACTTTTAACTGGAAGCTGTGGCCATTACAAATATTTATTAAGTAAAAATATACGTAGCACTCGCTTTAACGATATAAGACTACATACTTCTGCAAAAGTTTTAACGCCAATCGTGACGCAGATATCTAAATCACATGTCTACAAGGTTTATTTTTATATTTTATTGACTCTACATATAGAAAACTAATTTTAAACTGAAGAAAATATGTTTAATGTCGACAATATTGAACTTAAATCTAGTTTTAATTCTTCATGAACATACCCCACGTGTGTAAGATGATATTAATTTAAATATGATCTATCATTTCGTCTGATATCCATTATTATAATTGGTCAAGTATTTTCCGCGTACACCACACAAATAGTTTTCTTATATTTAATAAAAAAATGAGAGAAAGTGTTGCAGAATAATTCAAGGACTATTAAAAAGTTCTATATTGTAGCTTCAATGTGGTACGTAGATATATTTTATCAGCAATTTGGATATCTATCGATAACAATTTAGATTATTATTCCAAGAAACCTCGACTCAAATTCTGTTATTTCTAGCAAAAAGCACTTTACATAAAAGCATTTTACTATCTAGGTACCATTAATTAAATACCTTCTAGTTTATTACAATTAAGAACGAGGACGCATTAATAATTAAAAATCACTTACCCGAATAAAAAAAATCCAAAATCGGTCAGCACAGCACTGTTATAACCAAAGGGCTTATTGTAGTGTTTTTTTTTTCAGAATAGGGTTGTGTAGGATAGTGCAGGGTTTCGTAAACACGGCACACGAGTGGGATAGTTCGTTCGTTCGGAAGTGATGCTGGCCGCCCGGCCAGTACAGCTCGCCGCCCGCGCGATCCACTCGCGAACGACTAGTGATGGGACGAGTACACGGGATATCGATAAACATTCGAGCTCTCGGTATTGCTGGCTAACACGACAATTCGTTATTGACTTTATGTCATTGAGGGTAGCGATTGATGGGGTCATGTCTACTTTGTGCTTTGTTGTGAGTTGATATTAAGAAGGTCGTTTATGGATTTTTAGTAAATGAGTTAACTGTCAACTGATGATTACTTTTTAATGTTGTTTTTATTAAGACAAACTGTGTGAATAAATAATAAGTAATAAACTGGCGCACGCAAATAAATAAAAATGTTTAATAATAATACTTCATAAATCTTATACGGTAGGATGAAAAAGATATTACATAATTATTACGAATAATATTGGCTTATTGGCTAGAAAAATACCAAAAAAATACTTGAAGTGCGATTTAAAACCTTTTCACATTCAATATATTTATAATACTTCCTACTAGTCTAGGTCAAGAAAAAAATAGAAAACTTTATGACAAAGTGCTTTACATTATTTCAATCGACAACACAAATTACAATTATTTTCCCCGACGCACCTCACTACGTATGAAAAATCCCGCTGTAACTTTGGCCGCAGACGTGCTTCCCGCCGCCCCGCGCACTCCAATGTTTTGCAAATCCCTGATTATAATTAGTCCACTTACTCATGTCTTTATATTAATCATTTTTCTATAAGTAAATACTGGAGTTATATTTGCAAAGATACAAGCGTTGGTGCATCCATAACATTAAGATTGTAATTCTGCAAAGGGAACTAGACAGACATGTAGTAATGTCACGTCCTTCTTCCGCCTGTTATTGGGTGCATTGTGACAGAGAATGAGCTTATTACTAAATGCCAGTCACAAATCGAAATGTTGCATTGATATTTTTTATCTTTATTTTATAAATATTAAATAGGGCTTTTTACATTGATAATTGAAACTCTCATGTGAAGGATCAACAGTATAATGTGTTCTAGAAACACTTTAAGTGTGGGAGAGCCATGCTTCGGCACGAATGGGCCGGTTCGACCGGAGTGATACCACGGCCTCATAGAAAACCGACGTGAAACAACGCTTGCGTTGTGTTTCGTCGTGTGAGTGAGGTTACTGGAGGCCCTCCCTAGTTTCCCGAATCCCCGAATTCTCCACAATCCTCAAATTCCCAATTCTCAAAAGGCCGGTAAGACACTTGAAACGCCTTGGTGTTTCGGGTGCCCATGGGCGGCGCTGATTGCTTACCATCAGGGGATCCGTTTGCTCGTTTACCGGCTTATGCTATAAAAAAAACTCTAATAAACCTACAAAGAACCTAGGACGTTCGTTGTAAAAAACTTGGTATACGTGGGTAACTATGCTAAAAGTATGGTCACCATTGTAGCTTCTTTTATGTGCTTATGGCATAAGCCGGTAAACGAGCAGACGGATCACCTGATGGTAAGCAATCAGCGCCGCCCATGGACACCTGGAATAGCAGAAGTATTACAAGTACGTTACCGGCCTTTTGGACATTAGGAATTAAGGATTATTGCGGATTCGGGGTTTGAGGAGGGGGAAGTAAACCTCAATCTCACGACAAAACACATCGCAAATGTTCTTTCACGTCGGTTTTCCGTAAGGCCGTTATTATCGAGATTGCGTCGTCTTCTTACTACCCATATCTCAAGCTACTTGGAATCGGCACAATATCGCTTCATTCTCCATTTTCCCTAATCTAACATCATCCCATAATAAACTTCTTAAAATTAAGGAAAGTTCTTCAAAACACAGGTTCATTTTAATTGAATACAGAACGTTGTATTTTCAATTAAAACGCCATTCTAATGACGTGGTCAGCCATCTAAAATAAGTTTTCAATCACCAATTTATTTATGAAGTGTTACATTCGTCATACAAGTCGTAACGTAAGTAATGCAACCCTGAAACTGTGTTACTCATTGCACACCACAGACATAAATGCATCCATAGGTACGTAAGATGCCTCGTTGGTTAGGAAATTACAAGTTAAGCATGAGTTCAAATCCAGAATAAGAAAAAAAGAAATAGATATGGCGCTGACCACAGAACATATCTATTTATGTTATGAGCCCCATGTAATAGGGAGTATTGCCATAAACCATTCCAGACTCCGTGCTACTACTAAGATTTTTAAAAAACCCCGTAATATTTTGCCCGACCCGGGAATCGAAACCGAAACCCCTTGTCCCGCAGTCGCACTTATATATTCTGTGGCACTGACAAATCTCTGACATAGCTTGAAGTCTAGAATTAAAGCTTTATTGTTTTGTAATAAGCATACTCCGTATAATAACGTAATGCATTGAGGTTTAGGCGTGATCTCTACAATATAGATATTTAAGTCTTTGACTACTAATAGAAAACTATTCAAGGGAAATACTGCGCTAACGTTGATCACTGGTGACTCCTATAACCAAACCCACGATAGATATTTAAAAAACGTATAAAGTATGTTTTCTAACTACCTAACGCTGAAATACTCAAACTCGTTTTTAAGGTGCGCTTTAGTATAGTTCTATCATAACAAAATCTTTGAAGTATGACAGAGATGGCACGATATTTAAGTACAACTTAAAACTGAGTACCTATCCTTTCCAGTTGGCGCGGAGAACGTAACGGGTTACCGGGGCTCCAGCTCGACGTGTAGAAGAAGGAACGGGGTGGTTTTTAGTCAGTAAGAGTCTGACACTCCTTCCCGCCTGGCGGGAGAAGTAATTCGATGATTTTCCCCCCTCCAAAAAAAAATCCGTTCAATGTTCGGGCGTAAGTAATCATCCACCTACCACTTTGAGATGCGTAATGGTTACGTCATAAAACACATCAAAGATAAACAAATGGTAATAAGCAGTTAAATATACAATCTCTATAGAAACAAAATTTTCCTTAAATGTTTAAAAAGACTTGACCACAAACCGGCTAAAAAATAATTTAAAAGTGACTCAGGCGGCGCAAACAAGATATTCAAAAACCTTAAATTAATAAATACGTGTTTATTTGCGGTATTAACGTATCGGAAATGCCGTGTGCCAATCTCAAAGTGACCCGGTGACTCATGCGCAACCTGTACGCCTGTATCGATCTATTAGTGTGGTACGAGGTTCAAACAAGGACGTGCGTATGACATGAAACGAAAATAATATGGATGAAGGTTAGACTGGTGAGGTCGTTTAAATGTTTTGTGGGTTAAAGTTAAAAACACCTTGGAATAAATTCCTAGGTCGGGGAAGGTCGAGGAAGTACGAACATAACGAATACATAGGCTGATAGACTCATCCCTATTACAATAGGACCAACAATGAATAGTGACGTGATGCTCTCAGATTTAATAACGTTGATTTTCATAGTATTGACTCTGTGAGAAACTTTCATGTTTCTGGATCTACATAGGTACTTAGATAATATGCCACTAGGCATTAAGTCCGCCATTGTACACCCATTGTGCAAAAAGTGAAAATAAATAACTAAAAATAAATAAATATAATAAATAATATTTTGCAAACGACCAGACGGCTCACCTGGTGGCAACGGATCAGCACTGCCCTTGTACACCCGCAACACCAGATCAGCAACAGGTGCGTTGCCGGCCTTTTCGAAAGAAATATGCACTCTCATTCTTCTGTTTACGATACCATTTAAAAACGTTTCAAAAAGTAAATAACAGCATGTGGGATTACGAAATTGATACAAAATGTTAGGTGCTTGAGTGTCCGTAAACGTTATTCACCCAAATCAGACGCCAATTGATGCTTTAAACCAAAAATAAAAAGCTTTTCAAGTTTACTTTCGAAGTAAGGATGACCACTTGACAACATTTATTTAAATCCGTGTAATATACGCCGTTGTTTAAGAGTAACATAATAAAACGGGCGGCCCACTTTCTATTTCAAGAACCATCTTGTCAAACATCAAACGAAGTGTGATAATTTTGGGTTTAAAAAGAAAATCGTTTATTGACTGCTCCCTTTTGGTCATGAGACTACCAAGCTAGAGGTCTCTGGTTTGATTCTTAGCAATCGTTATTTCCACATCCGATTGCCGATTATCTCGGTCCCTCAGACGTCTGAAGCATGACAATTTACTAGCCCTTCATTACTGACTTCAATAGCAACAGAACATAACAGAACAGAACATATGACATAGAAGAGAAAAAAAGATCAGAAGACTATCATAACTTAATTCTTTTCTCTAGGATGCTCGCCTTTCGACATCTACAGCCATAATTTGTACTTTAAAGGGCCCAGGTATATCAAAGAGGGAACACTCCGGCTAGGTTCCTGTCAAATCTCTACTCTAGTCCCTAAGTCGTCTTAGTCTAAGTCTTAGGTCATACACTGGAAGATGGAGGTGGTGACGAATATATTCGACTGGCCTTCGTAGAGAGAGTACAGAGAGCGTAGTTTAAAAAGAGTACCATACGAGAATCAATTTGAAACAAAATTTATAGACTTTACAGACGTTTTCATAAAAAATACGCAATGGTATCGCTTGGGTAGCTGTGAAATAACTCGTTCGTAAAGAGAAAAACATGTAAACAGGGCCGGCCTCGGTAGCTAAAAATATAACATTATATTGGAATATTCCCGCCACACCATTCCACAGACTAAAAATCTGTAAATATTTAAACCTTGTCTTACTGTTCTCAAATATTTTAACTGTTTGTTGTTTAAACTGGATTTTAGTTGTCTTTCATAGCCTAGATTTTAGTTGGGGTATCTAGAATAACGTTTAATGTTAATCCTAAATACCTACCTATTTAAGTGTAGGCGAGGCGAGTGTAGTGCTATTACCGGAGGCCCAATTACCCAATTTCCCCAATCCCTGAATCCCCAATAATCCTAAAAATCCTAATCCCCAAAAGGCCGGTAATGCACTTGTAACGCCTCTGCTGTTCCAGGTGTGCGTGCGGCGCAGATTGGTTACCATCAGGTGATCCGTCTGCTCGTTTACTGACTTAACCTATTTAAAAAGAATACATAAAGTGCTAGATTACCTACATGATTACAGAGACATTGACGCTCAATATACATATCTCGATCTTATAATTTATTGCCTGACAAAAACACACAGTAGTATATATATCACAGCCTACATACGACATAAGTATTATCGACATTTTTTATTTCTGTTTAGAAATTCATTTCAATTCACACACCATGATTCTGAATACATCTATATTTTTGCAGAACTAACAAATATTGAGTTTGTAGCCAGAGCAAACCGACACCGTGTGCAATCACAAACTTAATAGTCAAGCTGCTATCAATTTTAAAACTAAACAAACGGGATGATGGTATCATCCAGAAAATCGAGACACGAAGTCTAGTATCTAATATAGGTACAGTAATCGATAAAAGACCTTGAAACTTAAAAGCTACTTTTACAGTGAGGAAAGGCAATGAAGCCACCAGAATCAGAGGCTCACTGTCGAATCGCAGGTCACACGCAAAAATAGCCGTTTTAGCGATTCCAGTATCACACAAAAATATTACTGTGTTCCATACAATACAGAGAATGAATGCTTTACTATTGCGAAATGACACCGTGTGTCAGTGTGTGTGTTGTTGGAAAAGCTTCTAGCTCGGATCGTTGGAATGGTGCCGATCTGCGAGAGTGAGTCGCGCTGTATTTATAGTGGAGTGACCAACGATGAGGTGTGGTTCAAGGGAGGAGCGGTCAGCGAATCATTATGGTCTTTTTTTTTCAATTTGGTTGGTATTGGTACTGAATCTTCGGTCTCCACTGAAAGTCCTGTTTTACATGTTACGTAGAGCGACTGCCGTCTACACCTTCAAGTGTCTTATACCTACTGTGATTATAGCGGAAGTTATGTCTTCAATACCTTTAACCCACTAGATTTTTTTGACACTGCCTATCGGCAACGACTGTCAGTAGTTTTTTTTAATCGTACCACACTAGGATTTTCTCCTGTGTCGTGGGTGCGTTTACAAACATACAAGTTCACATACACATGACACCCAGACCCGGAACAACAATTTGTGGATCACACAAAGAGTTACTCCGTGCGGGAATCGAACCTGCGACACGTTGCGTGGCAACCGGTTGCCCAGCCACCGGACCAACCGTTTTGTCAAAGTTGCTTTGACCATCCTAGAAAATAGACCAGAGAACAGTAACTCATAGTCGGCAGTCATGTTAATAATGTCGGTAGGTAGGTAGGTACATATCACACCTCTTTTATGTAAATCGCTGTCTCCTATGCCTTGCGACATTTATGTGGAAGGACAATAAAGTTTGGAATACAGATTTCGCTATGAATAATCACACACACAGCTAAATTTAGACTTGTATAAATAATTATTCGTGGTTCCAGAACGATTTAGAATATTTACAAAAATATTATAGGTATAGGTTCGACAGATCAGAACCAACAAATCGCCAAGTTCTTACAAAAGATATTACCTGTGTAGATATTGCTTTCTTGGATAGATTAGGTACAGGAATATATTCTTGGAACATATTCTCACAGAGGAATATGTATATTCTTAGAACTACACAAAACTTACCCACGTCTATACAGCTATTTACCTGCCTATGTTTACATCGTATTCTTGTGAAAATATGTATAATATATTTACTAACAGAGAGCTGTAGGTATATTGTACAAGACGTTTTACGGTCATTTCTGTTTAATAAAAATTCTCAGCATTAGCACGGAGTCTGGAATTGTGCCCGGTATATGGCAATAGAATAAAATGGCGCTAAATTTAGGAGTGGGAGGTCGTTAAGTCATATCGTTAAGTGCTACAAAATGTGGCACGCTGTGACGTCACACGAAATTTCAAATTAATATATCGTCAAAAGTATTTAATTTTATGAGAAAAGAAGAAATACGTGTCTAAAGTTTTAAATCAACGTACCAGGCGGACATTAAAATAAAATTTAGGAACCTACCCTATTCCGGACACTATCACTAAAAAACAATCCAATACTACTTTGTCTGAACTCTCGACAGTCGCACTTGCAAACACTGGGCCAACGAAATAATTTTATTTACGTACATTCAGTTTAATTTGAAATGTTTGCGTGAATAACCCGCAGTCTGTTCCGTGACTGCAATGTGATGGCGATGGCGTCAAAGATCATATAAAACACCTGTTTCCTAAACACGTTGTGAAATTCAAATGATCTCAGTTGCATCAAGAGCTAGAGAATATGATAATAAATAGAATAAAACTAAAATAAAAAAAAAAAATATTTTGATTTTAAAGTTAGATTTAAAAAAAAAAATGGTTGCCTGTAAAGTCGTTTTTACGGGCGAAGATTTTACGTGACAACGTCTTTTTCTCGGTAGAATATTTATTGATATGAATATAATTAAATTGCACAATAGGAACAAGGAATTGAATGAACTAGTGCTGCGCGCGCGGCAGACCGATCATAGTTGAGTGGGAGAGAGACGCAAGGCATTCGGCGGGCCTCTCTCTCGTTCGGTGACTCATCGTAACGTTACCGAGCGTTACACTTTTTCATAAGTGACTCCCAGCCGCAACCTAATTTAAGACGTTGTCACGTCAAAACAATCATATAACTACGTAACAACGTCAGCTTGATAACCAGGAAACCAGAAATATCTAGGAATTAGTAGGTGACATTTACCCCCTATACTTTGGTGACATTACACTTTCTCTTCTATCTACCCCATCGGTCATTTCCAGAGATAAATAAATTGGGGTAAACCCAAAGATACACTAGCTAGAGGACAAATGTCTCAAGATATGTATTGACATTATAAGGCGACATCGCACGCCTATGTCCACAGCAACGTTGATGTTGCCAGACATGTCGACCAAAGTTCGGCAACGTCGCACTACTGCACCCGACGTCGCTTGACTCGTGTCACAGGACATCAGTCCCCTAGTGACCTATCCTTAATACACAAGATACAAATAAAACGATTATAAGAGGAATAACCTTTATATTCATTTCTTCCATAGTTCCACTTAACTATGCGCTTAAGGCTACGTTACACGATGTGCATTCTACATCCCTCCGTTAATCAGCTTTTATGTGAAAAACAATAGTGTAATGTCAAAAATACATGGCAGTTTCTTAATATTATTAGAATTCACATAAATCCTATTTAAAAATTGCGAGGACACTGTTTTTACAACATTTATGACAAGATTTTTACCCTATTTAGTTGTCGAACTCAAGTATAATTAATTTGTTAGTGCTTGCATCATTCCCACTCGCCTTTTAGCTGTTTAATGACGATGTAACAACCATCAGATCAGAGGCCTTAGTACGAGTTTGATTTACGTTTGAAGTAAAAGTAACAAGTACGCGTTCAGCGCTGTGATTGGCCGGCACCAATGAAGCAACCAATCAGAGCGCCGAACGCGTACTCGTTACAATTACTTTAAACGTAAAACAAACTCGTACTAAGGCCTCAGAGACTACCAATATAAGTTGATCTTTCAGTGCAAGTGTAATCTATAAACTATGAGATCAGCTTTTATTAGTAGTTTCCACCTCATATGTGTTAGGCGAGTAGATTAAATGTCAAAACTAACTCTTAATATCAACTAGAATGCTACCAATCACGTTCTACCTTGGCAGACCTTATGCTAATCACAATAACATCTTAAATCGCTTGCAACTTCAAAATTCACGGGAGAAGGTCCAACTTCGAGAACGTACAATAACTTGTTTAGAACAAGAATACGACGCGTTTATATACAAAAGCCATAGTTAATTAATGTTCGTACGAACAACAATTATTAAGTCTTCAAACTTTGGATAACTTCGGTATATCTCCAATAATTGGTTAGTCAATGGTTTTACAATAAATTGTACGCGAGAGGTCTAAATATTCGGCTCTCTATATCTGTCAACTGTCCTATGTAGAATTTGTCAAATATCTTTATCTATTCAAAACTTCAACATCATTTAAAAAACTTACCACATATTTAATATCATCTAAAACCCTTTGTATCCTTTGTCATCACTATAAAGAGGTATTTTTGATACACGAATTTGTGAAAAGCCCACTAAGAGAATTTAATTTTTTATTGAACGTACATACTTTCTTATTACTCTCGCGATTTCTTTGTTTGTAAGGGGAGCGACAACGCCTCGCTTCATATTAAAAATATTCTCAATAAATTGTACTATTTACAAAACTTGCATAATCCGAATCTTTACAAAGACATTGGTAACAATATTCATAATTGTAAAATTCCGATGCATAAACTAAACCGATTAAGCAATAACAAAAATAATATAATATTTTGTGATGATCACTCGTTACAACGTAAAATCGAACATAATTATTATAAACTGATTATTTTATGTAAAAACTGCAAGCATAATCCTCTTTTATAAAGTTACAATAAACACTATATTAGTTTATCATCAATCGTTTCGCCTTAACAAAATAATTACGATAAAAAAATCGAAAACACTAACATTCACTAACAGCTGTATAAAATCATTCAACACAAGATAATTATTAATCTGCCAAGTAATAATAATTAAAGCAAATCTTAAGCAAACGACAAAAAATCTCATATACTTGTTTAGAACACCACTACTAACCTTAATATTTATAACCATTTGATTCTCATACACAAAATATGTCATTTTATTTTTAACTTAGACTTAGTGTAGACATTTACCGAAAAATAATAAAGTCACACTTTTCATAGCGAAAATCTGACAATACCTTAGCTGACTTCGAGTGCGCGCACGCATACTATACACGTTTTGTTAGCACATCACAGATCATCTATTGACTTAGCGAAATTGCATGGGCGTCTGTACTTCAAAAGTAAATAAATAACGAAACGTTAGCCGTACGGCATACACGCTTACTGAAAACTGTGAGCGTGTATTTGTACGGCCTCTAGTGGTCCATGCAATTCCTCTAATGAGGCACACTTCACGCTAACAAAAATACAGCCTTTCCCTCTACACGCCTCGTCCCTCCCTCCCTACACTTACAAATATCATAAGTTACGCTAGTATCTACCTTATAACAACGCTATAGCTTATCTCTATAGAAAGCTATTCCCATTTGGCTTCTTTCAAGTTGAACCACATTTATGTCTTGTCATATATCCTCTACACTAAACTTTAATATAAAAATGCCTTAATTTGGTATAGCTGTTACTAAAATTCGTTTGTTTATACAAATATAAAGACGAACTCATCTCTTATTGTTTGAGCAATGACAATGTTTGTATGCGTCGTTCTATTCGTATTTTGTTTATTATAATTAATATCTTAAATTATTTATTTATAACTTCATTTAGGATTTGTGAAAATATTTTACTGAGATCCCTTATATGTTCTTTAGTTTGTTCCATCTCAATACTGTTATACATATCTATTACATTAACTTATATACTGCAACTACTTACATTAGTATAAATAGATACAAGACATAAACTAGTTCACCTTTCGTTACACGAGCGATGCACATCCACGACTGGTGCAAACATTTTATTCAAAAACCAACAAATTCATCACCAAAACCAAATGAAACAAAGGAAATTTCGTGCCGGAAGACAAAACTAAATTTGGAAGACGTAGGCCAAAATACGTAAATTTTGTGATCACAATTTTGTGAATAATTACTTAAATAAATGCTATTCATATGGCATCAACTCTTGAAGTGTGTGACATACTACTGGGTCACGTCGGTCACGTTCGTCACTAGTAGTAGGTCACGCGGTTCACTGTCACGTCACTCTCTATCAATCACTGCACTGGCGACACAGTCGTCCGTCTGGCACTATCGTGGGGTCGCAGGGCGACTCTGGTCGCTCGAAGGCCTCAAAAGAAGCCGATCAACTCCTACTCGATGGTGCTCCGAGGACCGTCGATTGGCATTGTGTGCAGGACCTCGTCCAAAAGCTGAAGGGCTCTGAGGATTGAAAGAAAAGAAATTTGTTAATCATTCAATTGTAATTCAAACTTCTATAATAAGAAAGTAACAATAAAGGTTATTTTGTAGTGTTAGAATAATTGTTGCCTGTGCATATATAATCAACGAAATTTACTAACATCATCGAAATTGAATTGTAAGAAGGCAACACATTTAAACTTACTATTTTTGTATTTCAGGTATTGTGAACAATCCTTACAATAACTAGCAACTAACCTATGCAAATGAACCTCGACCCAGCAGGGCGTCTCCTTGATAGAAGTGCGGGGGTAGTCAGGTCCCCAGCCCTTGACGAAGGAAAGCCTCACGATGCACAGTCGCCGCAGGTCGTCCACTCCGATGCCGGCCGCTGCAGACAGACCTGTCGACATGTCATACGCTTCAGACACACATGGACGAGATATGGTTATAAAGAATCTCGCCATTATGGCTCATTTTCAGATCTGTTGTCTGTTGTGAAGTTATTTTCGGAAGATCTAAAGCTATAAGCTACATTAAACTACATCATGCGAATATCATGGAATTGTTTAATTGGAGAAAATGGTGTGAAAAGTATAAGGATACTTTATTTTAATGTATTGAACTAAATATTAGTACAGTCTACGTAACTATAGGACTACTAACCTACTATTGATGCTATAGGTGATTTTAATACTCTTGGCAATTTGACATTAAAATAGAAAATATTGGAACTAAGTAAAGTTGAAATAAAATGGAAAACTACATATATTTTGAGCAAAATTATGGTTTATGCACTTCATGCGCAACAAAAAATCATTTATCTATGACAGTAGCCCACTAACAACTATTCTAATTTAGCTTATGTAAATACTTTTTATTTATTTATCTGTACAATATAAGACAAGGAATAAATAAATAATTATGAACATCTCAAGAGACACTAAAACTAAAAGAGAAAATTAAATAAAAGAAAACTAAAAATTACTGCCTCGTTGACCAAGCGGTCGCAAGTGCGACTGCCGGGCAAGGGGTCTCGGGTTCGATTCCCGGGTCGGGCAAAGTATTATGGGTTTTAAAAAAAATGTCAGTACGGAGTTTGGAATTGTGCCTGGTATATGGCAATAGGTTCACCCCCTATTACATGGGACTCATAACATAAATAGTGAAATGTGGGTGTTACATTGTACAGTGGCATTAAGTGCTGTAATTTGCACCTCTGTCTACCCCTTCGGGGATGAAGGGCGTGACGTTATGTTGTTGTAAAAATGACTATTTACAGAGAGCATCAAAAAATTCTTCCGCATCGATGTCAATAGAAAAAGTACCCAGAAGGCGGGCAGCATTGCTACGTTGTATGGCAATGCTTAACCTCTGATCGAGAAACAGACCAACCCTCTGGCCTAAAGATACGTTGACCAGGCGTTTCGAAATATTTTTAAATAAAGTATAGGCATTCTGACCACACGGACCTAACGTCTCAACCCTAAACGGCCTAAACATATAATTATTTATATTATGTTATGTTCAATTTAATTCTTATGACTTACACAATACATGTTTTGGGCAAATAAAATGCTCTATTTTATAGTACAAGCATTTCTCCTACAACTACAAACTGGCCAAGAGCTACACAAATATCTGATAAGTACGTACACTTGTTCATGGTGGGATGTTGCGGCTGTATATGTCCGGCGACGGCGGCAGCTTGCGCCGCGGCCGCCGCCTGGGCCGTGGCCGCCTGGGACTGCATCTGTCGGTGACATTGGCGGAGGTCGAATACCTGAGGAGGAAAGTGGGTTTAGATTATTATCATATCAGTCTAAGACGTCTACCGCTGAACATAGGTCTCTCTCAATGACTTTCAGATCGGCCAGTTGGAAGTAATTTGCATCTAGTAGCTTACAGTACACATACGCTTTTACCAAAAGCTTAGTACATAATCTTTTTTAAGACAAAAAACCTTCTAAAACTACATTGTTGGTCGAATGGTCGTAAAAGCGACTGTCTAGCAAGAGGCTTCGCGTTCTATTCCTGATTTTCCGTCCGGAATCGTATATGGCAATAGGTTCCTCTGCTTACATGAGTCACCTATTACGTGGACACGGACTCATAACTGGCGAAAAGGGGGTATTAAATTGTGATGTTATGTTATAAACCCTACCTTAATACAAGCAGACGGGTATATCTTATGCACAGCGTCTCCGGGCGCTCTGCCGGCCTCCCTGTCGAGGTAGTAGGACTGCACGAACACTGAGTGATCCGACAGACAACGCAGCCACACGTCGCCTTCACCGCGGAGGTCTAACTGCACACCTTTACCGATGTGCAGTCTGAAATAAAAAAATATTTTCTTTATTGCCGAATTAGAGCTGATTAAGTGTACAAACAATAAATGAAAATTCTTAACTTATCAGGGAACTGCACTAAATTATTATTAAAGTCTATATTTGAATTCCCAGAAGGTATGTACGCGCATACCTTCAGAACGACAGTACCAAATCGGTTAATTCTTTCTTTTATGTTTTCGTTATTGTCAGGAGGTTTGAATCAAACCAGCGAATTAAACCCCTCCTTTTTTGAAGTAGATTAATAATTCATATACCAAAACCTTCTCTTAAATGCAATAAACACATTCTCAAAATCCGTTCCGCCAATCGCGAGATAATCGCGCACAAACATATATACATATATATATTTTTTTTAAGGTGGGGAAATCATCGAATGACTTCTCGCGCCTGGGTGAGGCGGGAGGGAGTGTCAGACTCTTATTGACTAAAAACCACCCCGTTCCTTCTCCTGCACGTCGAGCCGGAGCCCCGGTAACCCGTTAGGTTCTCCGCGACATATGTACATGTATAAAGGTCGAACTACGAACCTCCTTTATTAAAGTAAGTTAAAAAAAAAATGCAAGGAGATGCGCGTATGTCGCGGGCAGCAACCAGTTATAAATATATTTGTAACGTAAAGTTTCGATTATCCAACGTTATCATCCGATAAGGGTTTCGCTATCTTGTCTAGTCGTTGTTTTGATTTTTTTAAACTAACGGCTAGACAAGATAGGAACACGAAAGTTATATAATTCGTTATTTCTAAATAGGTACTTTATTTATGCCTCACCTCGCTCGTTCACTCTGTTCAGTTCTGTGCACATTACTGAGAGCGCCCAAACAAAATCTGTTACCGCCTGAAGGATCCACGTAGCCATCAACCTAAAAATTAACATAGTTTTCTGTTACATGTAATTCATTGCACCTACAATATGTTCTAGTCTAAGTAAAGACCTACATAATTTTGGAATCATATTTTTTATGATGAATATGGAATCATATGAAATAAATATGGAATAAATGCAGTGGCTGCAGCCACTGCATTTCAACTAAAAACTTAAAAAAGGAAAAACATACTGTAACAAACACATAAGAGCTTTACGACTGACTGGTCTATTTAGGTCAAGCCAAAATCAAGAAATCACAAATACAAATGTCCTACACAATGATCATACTCACGGTAACGTTGGGTCTACTGGAAGGTACTTTGAAGGTCTCTCCGACCTGCGTATCTAACTCAAAGTAGGCGACTGAGCACCAATATTCAGGAGCTGGTTGACTTGAGAGAAGACCGCCTGGGTTACCATTGTCTGAAATATGAGAATTATTGATACAGATCTGCTATTTTTGTCGTTCTGCTAAATAGCAAAGCGCATCTTAAATATTCTTGAAGTGAGGTTCATAACTACCAAGTTTGGCTAGCTAACACATTGTCTGCATATTTTCTTGACCAGATATTGACACTAAACGACATTGACCCTTTGAGTACCGTCATTATAGACACTATTAACCTCTCGCGTGTTTCTCGTACACACGGGTGTACGAGAGAGTTGAATGCCCATCGCGCAATTGTACACACGGGTGTACGGGAAACGCGAACCGATTAGAATTTTTTTCTGTGACGTATATTTTCAAGTTTGCAACCCGTTCTCTAGTTGATTGAACAGAATAGTTATTTCGCATTTCTATTAAAATATTTACCCGTGTGTACGAGAGGCGCGCGAGAGGTTAAAGAACAATAGGTTGCGGTCACCGGTGTCCTCGCGGTGTTTGACAGTTTAAGCCACCATTTTCACAAGCACATTGAACCTAGTAACGGGTGCCCCAAGCTCCTCTTTAAAGTTTACATAAACAACATACGAAAAACAGGACAACACAATGCCTTGAATAAGTCTGTCACGAAAGACCTGTCGAAGGCAAGCTCAAGTTTTCAAAGACTACTAAAGCAACTTGATCCAAGAATTATTGCCCGTCTAAAAAGCCTCTGGTCTATGCTAAAAGCGTATTTATCTTCAACTTACAATAATGATGATGAGGAGGAGCGTCAAGGGGCACGGGTGGCGCGGCGGGCGGAGGAGCCAAGCTCTGTGTGTACGTTAGTGTGTTGTTACCAGTCCACGTGCCTGGAGAAGACATTTACGACGTTATTTTTACTAAAAGACCGCAGAATCATCCCCCATTTTTATTAAAAGACTCGTCTTTTGTGTATAAGAAGACTACTACGATCTTCTGAGGCTAACAGACCAAAGTCGCTGCTAAATGCCAACCCAGTTTACACTCTTGAAATACGTATACCAAGTCAGTTTACTGCTGCGGTCTTTTAAGACTAAAAGCCCTGTTCACATTGTTGCATCACTAACACACAGCTAATATGTTTATTGCTGTGGTCTTCTGAATATTCGCCTTCGCCAAAAGACCAAACACCGCTAATCTTTCTGTTGTAAAATATTGCTCCATCATAGAATAGTTAACTTCGCACTATGTTTAAATATTTTTAAACAATTTTCATCCTACTGTGTCGTAGGGTTTCCCCATATTATACAGTAGTGGTTGTATGATCAACGAAAAAATTGTAAATCTTTTTTTTATGGCATAAGCCGGTAAACGAGCAGACGGATCACCTGATGGTAAGCAATCGGCGTCGCCCATGGACACCTGGAACACCAGAGGCGTTACAAGTGCGTTACCGTCATTTTGGGGATTAGGAGTTTGAGGATCGTTGGGAATTCAGGGATTGGGGAGATTGGGGAAGGGGACCGTAATTGGGCCTCCGGTGACCTCACTCACACGACGAAACACAACGCAAGCGTTGCTTCAAGTCGGTTTTTTGTGAGGCCGTGGTATCACTCCGATCGAGCCGGCCCATTCGTGCCGAAGCATGGCTCTCCCACACTCTACACAATGAAATAAACACAGTGACATAGACTGGATTAGGTCGAAGTGCGACATACATCAATTGTACAGCTTCAAGCTTGTTCTTTCAAATTCTGTCTGAAATATAAATTATAAGTAAAATATTCTAGTAATGTTTAGTACAGTACCTTGTTGTTGCTGATGCTGCGTGCGATGCGGTAGGGGGCTGGGTTGTGGCGCGGGACTGCCGTCTGTAGTGAACCCATTCTGTTGGGAGCCCTCCCCGGAACCAGGCGATACCGTGCCCGCTGCGTGCGAATCTGTTTCGTACAGGCTATGTTACATTTTTTGAAGGCAAGTTTAACTGCTTGTAACAGGCTTACAAAGTACTCAAAGGATTTTAATGCAGCCTCTAATAATTTTAACTGGAAAATTCGTAAAGGTTTAATTTGTTTATTCCTAATGATGTTTATGTTTTGTACAATTTAAAACTTACTGGACAAAGTTTGAGTCAGCTGAGAAGAATCGTTAGACGTTGTCTCTGACGTGAAGAATGTAGAATTCGGGCCATCTATGAGTGGTGTGGTGGCTCCCGGAGACATAGTCACTGGCATTGCAGCTAGAATATTTGCAATCATATGAAATAATTGTCATACCATTACTTCCATGCCACATCACATCTCACTGAACACAATAACTACCACTCCAATGACAGAAATAAAAGTGAATAAAATCAAAAAACTGTGCAAATCAAAAGAATAAAGCTTACAATGATTCATTCGTTTAGGCAGCCACATTGCGCGGGCGTCCATCGTATCGGGGGGCTCGAGTTTGGGGGCCACCGCGCGCTGCTGGGCCATCGCCATCTGTTGCGGGCTCGGCAGCGACATCGGCCTGTTCATCGGCGGCATCTGCGGCGTCGCCGGCGACATACTGGGCGCTGCAGCCAACCGCGGGGACGACATCTGTCCCTGTCCCATCCCTCCACCCAGGGGCGACTGGGCCGGCACCATCTGGGGGCCCTGCATGGGCCCCGGGTGCGCACACATCTGCGGTGCGGGCGCCGCGTGGCCCATCGGCGGCGCCAGCGGCGCGTGCGGCGCCGGCGCCCGCAGCGGGGTGCGCGGCGCGTGCGTCGGCGAAAACATGTTCGGTACGCCTTCAGGCGCTAGTAACCACATAACGCAAAATAAATTGATCATGCATGCAAAATAAAAGTACCACATTGACACACAAACACACTGAATGAGATAGGCTGAAAGGGATGTGGAAAAATAACATTTCTAGTCTAATGAGATGATAGATATAAATAAACCTAGCTGTTCTCTCCATCCTCTTATCCCTTACAGGCTACACCATGTAAATGTATTCCTTCAGACTCCACAACAACACAAGCACAAACCCGTCACTTACTTTGTCCCTGGTTAATAATAATATTTGTTGTCTGGAACTGCTGATGGTGATGTGGCATCGGCGTATGATGGTGCCTAGGACTAGTAGCATGATGCTGAATGGTCACCATCTCACCAGTATCCATGTCCATTCCGTTTCCACTGAGGCCAGCTGTGTACTCGTCCTTTACTAATCTGCTGGGACCCGACTGAAGTGTGAGGCCTGATAAATCTGAAAATGTTTCTTTCTTCATTGGGACACAAGACTATAGACTGAGTAACTAATAAGACAGATCTGTTGTAACTGGCAGTTTCAATGTGACTGAAGTGAAAGTTCAAAGATTCGGCGATTAAATAATAATAATAATAACAGCAACTTTTACTAGGGGGTCTGTCTAGACGGGTTATTGTCTAGGCTAGTCTAAAACCTGTTCTTCACAATAGACCTAAGTGAACGAAGCAATACTGACCTATTCCTGGGGAAACAACCCTTTCGTAGTGGTAAGGGTTTACACACACTGAGTCACATTTTAAATCGAAAGCGAATTGACAAAACTTGACGTGTTTCAATTCATTTTTGTGTAAGTCCGGCCACCTCCATATACGAGCATAAATAACGTGGGGAAATCCTTTCCGACCGGCCACCTAAAAAAATAGACTTGGTACAGTTGATGTCATATCTAATTCTAATTAGCAATAACAATAAATTGGGGATAATTTATGTTGGTTTGACATGCCTATTTATCTGTGTCATTTTGGGTGGTTGTCTTTGAAATGACAATATATTTTTACATCATACAATAAGGTGTGTCTATTTTAATTTGTTGTTGTAGCGGCCCAAAGGTTTAAGACGCCGCTTCACATGCATGAGTGCAGGTTCAAAACCAATGGCAAGTACCAATGTGACATTTTCCCAGTGATATGTACTAAGATTATGTAGGCACCACTGACTAACGGTGAAGGAAAACATTGTGATGAAACCTGCCCTTATAATTTATAATTATAAGTTTGAAATCGCCAACCCACATTGAGCAAGCATGGTGATTAATACTCAAACCTTCTCCGTGTGAGAAGAGGCCTTTGGTCAACAGTGGCCACTTCATAGGCTGTTCATGACAATGATTTTAACTCGTATTTCATAAATAAACAGTGTCACACACTGGCTTACAACAATTCTTAGTAAACGTGATTTTGTTTTGACACAATTTTAATTTTATGTATTGTCCCTCTGTGAAATAACATGAAACTCTAATAAACTTTGTATCACTTATATAATTCACTATTTGAGGATTCACAATTACAACTTGATTACAAAATCAATTTTATGGTTAAAGATTATATTTATTTGATTTTATATTACTATTGAAATAGTATTTAACTGATCAATCAATCAAATGTCTATCTCCATTATACACCTTATTTCCAATATTTAAAGACTACTTTTGCATGAACAAACTAATGTTGTGGACTTTTAATAATCGGACATTTGCGAGTTAATAAACATCAAATGTATTTCTATTCATTAATAAACATAACATTGAATACATTTTTTTTTATTATTTCTGAATGTATTTATCAATTAATGTAAGTCAATTATGTTTAGTTTGTATATTATGCCCATGCTAATCATAATTAAAATCAAAACAGTCTGCAACAATTCTCTACATCCACTGCCTGCAATACTAAAATACTAGCAACACTGACAAAAAAATTATATCCTTCCGACAGTCAGGTAAAAATCAATAACATTACTAGACCAGTATTTTTATTATTTCTACCTCCTTAAAATTGAATGATTAATTACATTCTAAAATAAATAATGTAACACACCCACTCCATTTATTACTGCATTATAAGACCTATTCAAATTATGAATTACCCATGTAAGACAGATTATTGAATCATTCTTCAAACAAATGTAAGTAATGATGACTAGTATAAAATTAATCAGTATTTTATAATACCTGTAACCTCCCATCAAGCGTCCTCTGTATTGTAACACATTTACTAGGATGTGCGCCATTAGTAGTTATTGCTGTGATCAAGGAGTCTAGCTCATCTCTCTTCTCCTTTAGCTTCTTAACAAGAGATTCTATAGCTCGCTTGGAGAACCCTTCACTCTCTCCACCCTGTCTGTGACACATTAGCGAGTGCACGATGCTCAGGCAGGCATCCGCCGACGTCGGAGCCGTGGTATTCATGGCTTAGAACAGAATTTTAAGCGTTATAGGTTACTGAAACTGCAATTACCCGTTTATGACGCACAAAATGAAATTTTTTATTTAATTTGCAGCAAATATGCTTTATTGCTACATTGCGTAGTGTAGAAAAGTACGAATTTTCGTAACTAAATAATTATTATACAAAGTAATCAGTTCCTAATTAATTTCGGATCAGAATAATGAAAATCTTTTACAAAATTACAGTTCATGTAACTATTGTGTAATACATTCGTAAAACTTAAATTTGAAACGCCTAATATCGTACTTATTTCGTAATTTATATCAGAATTTCCCGAAAATTTACGTTAATATGACTGAAAATAAAAGGAATTATTCACATAGCCAAATGACCACTTCTAGGATAACTAGGAGGTAGAATATTACCTGATTGATGCACCAAATTTACTTTAAATATTTATAAATGAGGGCATTTAATCACTTTGCTTATATTCACTAAGGTATTGAGTAAATTAATGAAATTAATTTCTTTTATTGTGAGATGATACCAAAACAGAAAGCGACATTTTGGCGGCCCATAGACAGATAGAATGAAAAATGTTGCCAACAAAATAATTAAGAAAGACAAGTATTAAAATAATCGTGATTTCAGGATCAAGGCCTTCATTTACTTTTACGAATGAATGTAATGTGCCGCTTATTTTCATTGATATGCATGTATCCAACAAGAGATTAATTTTTACACAATATTCCTGGTGTCCAATGATTCAATAAATCGATTTTACGACTGTCCAATTGTCAATAATTCGATTTATCTTTCAGCTATCCAGCTACACTTCCTTTGTGTATTACATCGCATAGTATATTTTCCTAAAATTATAAATTAAAAAAGGGTATTTCAATGTTTGTCTGTAAAAATTATGATAAAATTATGAACCAAAACAATCCGATTACACAACAATAACATGAAACGAAACGCAATTATCTGTCGAGTGTCGAGTTGGGTGATGACAGCAGCGAGTTTTGACAAATTCTCGCTTTTAATTTCTTCAAAAAAGTCAAAACGGGTTAAAAATAATGAGAACTAATTAAAATATCCACCGTAATTAATTTGCAGTTGCGATATCATTGTCGTATCCATATGTTTGATGAAAATTAATTTACGTGAATAAGTGGGTGGATTCCGTCTGCGCTAATAAGCGGATTGTTATTTGTGTCATGCCCGCAAAATCGACGGATTGTGCTGATGATGAAAAGCAGATGAAAAATGAAGGGTGTCGATAGTGCGACAGGAGACCGTGAAGGCATGACACACAAACCGATTGTTACATGTAAGATTTTGGCTCCTTATGTTTATGTAAATCTTAGGTCAATATTCTATGTATAAATAAATAAATTGTTGTTTTACTGGTAGGTGCGGGAGATTGGAATTTATTTTGTACGTTAGAGGCGCCCCTAGTGGCCGCCATACCACAGGACTCATGTGAGTGGAGGCGGTCATATGGCCGGGCTACCAAGTCTGTCTACCTGGAGGCCTCTTTCACCAGATATAATAAGGACAGAGGGCAAAATGAGCTGAATTTGTTGAAGAAACCAATATTTCATATTTACTGGACTGACTGTGTGGTATGTATATATTTTTAAAAGCTTTATATACTTAATATTTACTGATTACATTTTTTTTATAGCAAAAATGAATGTAGTTAATTAATAGTCTGACATATCAAAACATGATTCAGCGTTGGTACAAAGTATATCATATTAATAGTTAATTATTATTTATAAATTGTTTTTCTTATCATTATTTTTTATTATATATCATACAGCTTTTTTAATAAAATCTAATAATATTATTTCAATACTAATCCATGGCTATATTAGTGGTCAAATAGCAATAGAGATTTGATTGTAGATAAGGATTTAATATGTTCTGATAAGGCTTGACAGTTTACCGAGGTTCATATTTTAACTGCATTAGGTATTAGGTTGTTATTGATGGTAAATGATGGCAGTTAAAATGAAAATATTGCTGTATCTTGCAATAATATGAATGTAGTAAATGAGTGCAATAATAACTGTGTGGGTTGCATTCAATTTATTCTGGATTTAGTGGCCTTGTAGTGTGTATTACTATGTAAGATTGAACATAACACCGGTTAGATTAAATTCCATATGATTCATACTAGAACTAATGTTTCATGTTAAAAAACAAACAAATAAAATCAAAATGTTATACTAAAATATATTTGGAATGAAAGTATCAGAAGTTCTCATTAAAAATGAAAAGATGCTTGGCAAAATAATATCAAAGTAAACTACGTATGTCCTCCAATTTTACATATTTACCATAAAAATAATATTTATTCACAGGACATAGAATATTACAAAACAACTCTAAGAGAAGACATAGAAGCATGGTTGAAACAACTAGAGAAAAATGGAATAACGGATTGGATGATAGTCCTAGTAGAAACTTATGACATACGAAAAACAAACAAATTGTTACCGAGGACTACGGTTTTGGATAAAATTAAGGGTGATTTTGGTGTGAAACAAACAGAAGATAGGTTTATTTCTGTTATTAATCCTATCAAGTCCGAAGCAAGGAGTGCGGAGTCATGGAGGGCGTTGGTAGCAAAGATAAGACATTTTGTACTAGTGGCGTATAATAAAGCCCTAATCAAATTTGAGGAGTACATGAGAGAGCAACGAGAGAAACGTAATGATCCGGATTGGGACTTTTGTAAATATTTTATTTTGCAGGTAAATTAAACATAGGTATTTTTTTAAAGATGTCAAATTTTCTAATACTAGTTCTTAAATTTTTTAGATAATATTAAAAGAGTAAAGGGAATGTAATAATAATTATTATTTTTCTTGTTTTTCTATCTAGTATTATTAGTTTTCGTAGTTTTTATGGATTCAAAATAAAATTCGGTTTGATATTTTCTTATTTTAATAGTTTTATTCATTCAATATTTTTTTTTTTGTGTTGTCCTAATTATATTTGTAATTGTTTCAGGAACAACTAGCATTTGTACTTGAAATGCTAGGCTTGTATGACGAGGCTCTAGTCCAGTATGATGAATTAGATGCTCTGTTCTCTCAATTCGTACTCAATTCCAATGTGACAGAGAGTCCAAAATGGCTTGACACATTTAGACAACCTGTGACATCTTGGCAGGCAGTCAGACTGACTGCTTTGGTTCCTCAACACCTTCGAGAACTGATTATAAAGAAGAAAGCTTCGTTGTTGGATTTTAGGAGCTATTTGTTTCAACGTCAAAGTGCCATGTTACTGCCCTCATCGAAACCTTGGGAGGTATGTGTACCTCTTATTATTTAATATGAATTCAACACCCTATTTCACAACATCAACAACCTGCTCACTCAGTTCACTACTTGAATACATAACAAGGACACCCTGTATTACAATCATAGGTATTTGGAGTATCAAGTCTTTTTTGTCAGGTATATCAAAAACTTAGTACTTATTGACAATAAAGACTATTTCTATTCTATTTAATTTTAGTGAAAGGCTCACCTCAATCTACTTATTCGCAATAGAAGCGTAATATCTGTCAATTTCGATATGATAAATAATTTCTCCGACCTGTAATGGATCCCTAGAAAAAAACATACAGTCGAATTGATAATCTTCTCTTTTTTGGGAAGTCGGTAAAAAACAAACTTTCTTTACATTTCCTTCGAAATTGTCACCTCATAAATCTTGCAACATAACATGCCTGGCAACATTTTTCATTTTCAAATAATGACAAACTATGATGCATGCACAAAGAAATAAACGGAGTGCATTGGCGATAATTACAAAGCAATTACTGTCCAATATTTCTTGTGAAACATTTATGTGTACCTATTTTTTATTGCTTTCACACTGATTTCGGAACAAACTGTTGCTTTCGACATATTTGTAGCGAAACAAATCATTATGCCTATTAGTATTACCTATATATTTTTGAGTAACTAATAAAAATGTATTGGAAATTTAATATATCTAGTACTTATACTAAACTCTATTCGTTCCATTCCTCAGTAAGTTCATTCATTTTTTCCTTTCATTGACATTAACATTCCAAGACCGTCCATTGCTGGACTCTACGCCTAATCGGAGTCTCAGCTCTGGCCTCTGAGCTTTAAATACTCTACTACAATATTTTAATAACATGGTCTAAGCAGAAAACCGGCATGACGCAACGCTTGCGATGTGTTCCATCGTGTGAATAAGCTTAACCCCGGAAACCCAGTCCCCCTCTGTTTCCCGAATAGGCCGGTAGCGCTGCATTAATTTATAATGCCTCTGATATTGCGGGTATCCATAAGCCTTACCGATTGCTTACAATCAGTTGATCCATATGCTCGTTTGCCGCCTTAACCCACACATACATAAAAACATAAGACGCCAAAGACAAATAAATGAATAAAAAAATTATAAAAAAGATAAGGTGACAACTTTACATCGTCTCCATTACCGGCATCACTTTCAAACTTCCTCTATCATATTAATATCTTACTTTATCCACTCTTCACGCTACATACATCTTGACATTCTAATTTCCTCCACCAGCACACCAAACTACCCATTCTTCAATAGATAACCAACTTTATAACAAGCTGATAAAGTTGAATCTTAACAGTCTCATTTCCTCTACAACAGATACTCGCAAATCAAGCTACCCTTCCTTCAATAGATTATCAACTTTATCACAAGGAAATATACTTGAAAATCTATCCGTATGTAGGTGGGGCATTCTCATATCCTTAATCGCAATTTCTATGCATTTAATACAGCTTGCTTTACGCATGTACCGGTGTATTGTAAACTAATATTTTCCCCATGGCTACCCATGTATGACGTTATGACGTATCGCTACTGTTGTGGTTGTCCATTGAACATTGTGGTAGGTCAAGTGTAGACAAAAATTGACATATTATGTCATAGAAGGAAATTGTTTTGTTGTGGTGGTCATGTAGTGTAATGATAAACGGGATAGGCTCGTTAAATGTTGGCTTTTACTTGGTATCTTTTAATTTTTGCCACGTACAGTTCTAATTCGTACGCTCAAATTGAAATTATTATGTACAAGCTTCTGCCCGCGCCTTCGTACGCGCAATCCCGTTTTCTCCCGTTCCGTAGGTTTTTCAGGATTTTTTCTGTCTTAAAAACCTTCTCCTAATAATAACAAATACAACAAAAAAAGAAAGAAAAGGTATTCATTTTTATAAACATATACATAATTATAGATGTGTTAATATCTTATTTGGTTCATTGCCTTGGTCAATACGGTAGATGACTAATTTTTATTTTAATGTCCGTCTGGTAGATTATTTAAAAACATTGGACACGTATTTTTTATTTTCTTAAGGAAACGAATAGTTTTGAAGATATATTGATTTGAAATATCGCATGACGTCACTTTTCAGTACGATTTATACTCTAAAATAACGTAACCGCCACCCACTCCTGAACTTTGATTCGTTTTATCTATAGTCAGAATTTTAATTAGATTCCAGATTTGACAATAGCTACTGTCATTTTGTGAAATAATGATACCACATATAATAGAGTATAATAAATGTTACAGAAAGTGACAGGATAGCGATAGCGATGACGGCGACAATTTATAAAATAACTTATTACCATAATACATCTATCTGTTTTATTTGTCATGTTCCTTCATGATTTCATTTTTTTAGTTATTTCACACACAATTATAAAAGAAAAGTCTCAGATCGTTAAGTAATCGTCAAAACTAAATTATCGGTCAGAAATATTTAATTTCCTGATATAATTAGTTTAAGAGAATAAAATTATAAACGAGAAGAATCGATCCAGAAATATTGCATTTCCATATCGAATAATTTCGCAACGTCACTATTTAGTACTTGTCATAACGTTGCAACACTGAAATTGTCAAATCTGGAATCGAATTAAAATTCCGAGTATAAGTATTGTTTTCTTATACGACAAAATAAAAAATACGTGTCTAATATTTTTTCATTACCTAACTGACGGACTAATAAGATTTTAAATTTTCATACCCTGTCATCATCCCTAGTCTCAGGTTTTGTTTTTTTGGTTATAAAAGTTCTTAAGCTGTACTACAGGTACTACAGTACCGAGTCTGGAATATTGGGTACAAAGCAGGTATGCTTTGTGGACAGTATTTTAATGGAATTCCTGGACTCGTGTCTCTGTAGATATCTAAGCTAGAGGAGACTTCAAGTTCAAAGTGATGACAAATGCGTTGCAAGCTATGTAACTGCTTTACGCCGTCGTGTCCGAGGAGAGACAACAAGAAAATAATGGCGCTATTAAAATGAGAATTTAGGACTGACCTTTATTGAATGAGACGTAGATGGTCAAATGTTTACCAATCAATAAAATTTTTTTCTTATTCATATATTAAGTGTGTGGGAGAACCATGTTTCGGCACGAATAGGCCGGCTCGACCGGAGTGATACCACTGCCTCACAGAAAACCGACGTTAAGCAACGCTTGCGTTGTGTGAGTGAGGTTACCTGAGGCCTAATAACCCCCCTCTCCTTCCTCAATCTCCCTAATGCCTGAATTCCCAACGATCCTCAAACTCCTAATCCCCAAGAGGCCGGTAACGCACTTGTAACGCTTCTGGCGTTCTAGATGTCCATGGGCGACGCCGCCCGATTACTGACCATCAGGTGATCCCTCTGCTCGTTTACCGTATCTTTAATCCACTCCAATTTATCATTCCAAATTATCTTTCAGATCGCATCCAGATGTCTATCAACTGTACACAACACATTAGTAGAGTTATCTCTACTCGGTGCCACGGCGGTAGAGGGCGCTGCAGCATGTTGGGCGCAGCTAGCGTGCGCGGAGACGTTGCGCGCGTGCGAACGATTGGCCGCGAACAATAATGCGCTTGATATGTGCACTGCTACTCAAGCTCCACTGCTGCATAATGCTAAGGATAAGGTAAAGTGATCGTCGAATTAAATTTCCATAATCAAAATATTTTTTTTATCTTTCCACGTTAAAGAATTCTAGGGATATGTTAGAGACGTATCTTAATGTAAACCCGGTCAATAAAATGTCACTCAGTCTCTATTACTTAGAATTCTTCAATATTCTATAGGAAGTAAATATTCTGGATTCACCAGGTTTAATATACCAAATTATAAGTACCCTTAGTAAAGACGAGAATGCATGAAAAGATTTATGACTGTTGATGAAGCGAAAGTGGTATGTAGGAATTGTAGCAATTGGCGTTCCATAGTCCATACCAAAATCAATCCATAGTGTATTGCTGACAATTTAAAAGTACTCATTCCGAGCTGTTGTTAAACCCTAAGCCAATTGCTTCGGAGAACCTAACAAGTAACCGGGGCTCCGGCTCGACGTGCAGGAGAAGGAACGGGGTGGTTTTTAGTCACGGGGTGATTTTCCCCCCTTAAAAAAAAGGTAATTGCTTGACTAATTATGATCACCAGCATGTTATTTTCACGGAGCCACACTACTGAGACATGGTAATAATGTATTAATATTTGCTATAATATCAATCACCAAACTGCCAAGCCCCCTTTGTCACACCCTTGGCTATTACTGTTGTTCTGAATCTTGGCTGCGAGCCAAAAATGTAGAAAACAGATTTGTTCATGTATCTATCCTTATGAAACATTATTATGATACTATTGTACCATTTTCTTCTTTCGGTCTAATGTTCGGGAGTTGTAATGTTGATGTCGACTCACCTGTATGCGTTTTACGGATGCAAATGAAAAATTTTGTTGCTTTCTATTCTTATTCTATTTCTAAAAACTTGATCTCTTTTGTATAGGTTAAGGTTCATATATATAAAAATTAGATATAAATAACTTTCACCATCTCTATTTGTGTGTTTTAATTATTCCAGTTACACGAGCTCGGTAAGCTCTGCGGCCTGCTCCCTGGCTCCCCAGAGCCGACGTCGGAACAGCTGCACCTGGTGGTGATGCTGTCAGCAGGGATGGGAGACAATGAGAACAACAACCAGCAGCCCACACCCACTGATAGACTGAAGGAGGCGCTGTGTAGCAAGACTAGCTTCCAGCAGTATTATCTGGAGCTGGCTGAGTTAGCTATGGGGACTTATAAGCATATTGGACGGTTAAGGTTGGTATTCACCTTTTTACCTGACTTTATAAAAAGAAGGAGGTTCTCAATTTGATCTGTGTGTGTGTGTGTGTGTGTGTGTGTGTATGTTTGTGCGCCAGAATCTCGCGATTGGTTGAATCGATTTTGATGCGGTTTTTACAAAAGTGCTTGTTACGCGTAAGAGGTTTTAGTATATTAATTAACCGACTTCAAAAAAAGAGGGGGTTGAAGTCGGTTTTTTTAAACGTAGTTTATAAAATAATTATTTATTACTGTAAGTTTTGGTAGCTAAGTTGTTTTTTTTTTTTCGAAAATTGCATTGATACAGTATTTATTATTGTGATAAGAGGATCTTTTGGCTCACTAGTGCCAATTGGTTACACAAAAAAAATATGTATTCTAGATAGTAATGAAAAGTTAATTGAAATCTACTTGTTAGACTCAGTTGGCGCACGCCCCTCATGAATATAAGGCCCGGCGTGGCTGGAAACCGATATAGTTATTAAATTATCGAATAGTTATACTTGTAACTAATTTGACTGCACGGTTGGTGGCTGGGCAACTGACTGCCGTGATTTCGATTCCCACACGGAATAACTCTTTGTGTGACCCACAGATTGTTGTTCCAAGTCTGGGTGTCATGTGTACGTGAACTTGTATGTTTGTAAACGCACCCACGACACAGGAGAAAATCCTAGTATGGGGCAAGGCTAAAAAAAATCATTGTCTATATTGGTCATTTCCTCCCCGCCTCTTAAAAGTAAACAGTCCTCTAAAAGTTACTCCATTCATATTCCAGATTCGCCCGCCTGATAGGGCGTGACCTAGCAGCGTTCTACTCGGAGTTGGGTGAGACTGGCAAGGCGGTGGTGTTCCTGATGGACGCGCTGCGGTCGTATGAGGAGCAGGGGTGGAAGGACCTGGCGGCACAGACCAGGCTGGAACTCGTCGCCGCTGCCAAGAAGATGAATGACATGGACAGGTTTGTAGACTGTAAAAATCAGCCAGTTTATTGAAATATTGCAATTAATTCTACGAGAAATAAGACGTAGTGGAAGTTTCTTGTACTGGATCTTGCATGTACAAGAAGGTATTTTGTTCACTGTGCCAAAGAATAGTATTTTTGTTAACTTGAGTTAGCTTTTTTTAATGGTAAAAATCTGTTAATATTTTTATATAAATTCTTGAAGTATTGAATTGTTAAAAATCATACCGCAAGAGACAATATACATCAACATTGTGAGTGTAATTATAAAAATGTTTCAAGATAACATTTTGTTGTAATGTAATGATTGTATGAACAATGAACATCACCAAGATATTTTTTCTCTTTTCCAGATACACAAAGCTCTCAGCAACAATAGCAAGTACAGCCGAACTAGAGATACTAGTCAGAAACTTTTATTTCGAGGAAATGATGAAATCCATACGCGAGGAACTTTGCAAAAAGTCAGAGACGGTACTGACAGAGCTGAACGAATGCTTCAAGATCGTATCAGCCAGTTTAGTGCCGTCGGAACGTGGTGTCTATATCACCGACAATAAGGTCCAATGTCGCATGACGGTTGTTAGTTATTTGCCGAAAGATGTGACTTGTACTAGAGCAGCAATAAGTATAGAGAGGTGTAAGGAGGATAGGACGGACAGACGGACGCCTGTCAAAAGTTATAAGACTGATTTAACTGTTAGCAGTAGTGTAGCGTCGCCTCGACGGGGGCCGGCCGAGGCTGACAATGATACTACTAACTTAATTACAAGGTAAGATTTTGAACGAGTCTCTAAGTTTTAAGGGCTTTTTCTACTCGTCAGTAGTCATAATTGAAAGTCAAACCTCCAATAGCGTCAAACACCGGTGACTGAAGTGGCACTAAGGTCAATTAGTTATTTTAGTGATATGATATTAAATGTGGTGGTTATAATAGCCACCGCTTTTTATGTGACTAACTATTTTTTTTAAACGTTTCCCCACATTAGTATATTCTCCTGTGTCGTGGGTGCGTTTACAAACATACAAGTTCACTTACACATGACACCCAGATCCGAAACAACAATCTGTGGATCGCACAAAGAATTGTTCGGGAATCGAACGGGAGCGGGAGCGGGAATCGAACCCGCGACACGTTGCGCGGCAGTCAGTTGCCCAACCACCACGCCAACCATGCAGTCATAATGAACCTTATTGCTACTATTTGTTTCAAAATTGACCATATAAAGTAGACTACTCACTTTTATTCAACTTAAAACTTAATTAGACATAATTTCTACATCAAACCTTTTTATATCTTTTTCAGCATAAGACTGGACGACTTAAAACCCAAGAACCCACTATTAAACCCTTTACACATAACCTCACAGATACACTACAAAGAGGACAGATCCTTGCAAAAAGTCACCGTTGAATGTCAAAACCCAAAGGTGACCCTTAAGCGATCAGACAGTTGCAAATACAGAAAACCTTCAGCAACAGTAAGAAACAACTATGAAAACTGTTTTTCAGTTAACAATATAACCTTAAAACCAGGTTCAAATGACCTTGTCCTAGATTTTGTAGCGACCAAATGCGGGGTCTTCAAACTTGGTCAGGTTTCGTTAGTCATTGAAGAAAAATTGGAGTTTTTGTCTAATGTACTGATTGGAACGAAGATGGGATGTGAGATTGTGACTCAGGGTGTGAACGTGTTCTTGAATAAGGTGGAACCGAAGAAGGATTTGGTGGCTGGACTGGAACATGCTGTGGAGCTGGTCGTGACCAGTGGTAGCTCTCATATTGAGGAGGTTTGTTATTGAATTATATTATGTAATACCTGACCCGGCAAACTTCGTACCGCCTAAAAACTTTTTCTCACCTTTTAAACCTTCCCTAGACTTCCACGAACCTATCAAGACCAAAATTAGCCAAATCGGTTCACCCGTTCTCGAGTTTTAGCAAGACAACAGAAATTCATTTTTATTTATATAGATTGTGTTATTATGTTGCAAAGAGTAGAAGGGAGATCTATTCAGTACAGTTATTCAGTGTTTGTCTTCCGACTGATTCTTATGATAATCGTCAGCTTGGAAAACTGTTCTATTTCTTATTTTAGTTCTGCTTGTCCTTAAGAACTCAAAATTATTAAAAACTATCCTTAATGACTATTCCTGAGGCTTTGGTATTAGAAAAACCTTATCAGTGGCCTGTTATAATAAAATCAAAGACTCCAAGAATAAGCCTAAAGAAAATATAACCTTGAATAGAAAAGTAGTAGACACAATATAATGCCACTAAAGTACTTTTCTACTCTGCAAATTACTATAACTCAACATAATATCATTCCATCTTAATGTATAATACCGACATCTCTTCCAGAATACAACAATACTCCTGAAAACGTCCTCTGGTCTACTGATCAGGTTCGCTGACGATGACACGGCGATGTCTCGCGAGCTGATCATCAAGGTCCCCGCTATGGAACCGTTCCAGACTACTAAAGTCCCTCTCCGACTGTTCGCGATGTTACAACCTAGGAAGGAGAAGAGTATTGAGCATTCTGTGAGTTACGAATGATATTGTATTATTTCTTAACTCGTCGAGTACCGGTTTTGTAGACACAATTATAGAACAATAGGTTGCGGTCACCGGTGACCGCTTGGTGTTTGACAGTTTAAGACGGATAAAGAATGTAGTACTTGTATTTGTATAGCGCTCGTCAAACAAACACACAAACTTTGCATTTATAATATTAGTAAAATTTATTTTGTTTATATGTCGCTCAATGCTGCTCATACATATGAGCCCTATAGTCTAGTTACCTCGTCATACAATTACGTGAAAATCGCCTTATTTATATAGTCAAACATTTATAAAATAATGTTCACAAATAGTAAGATTTTAATGGCAGGTAATCTGCCACTGTAATTTATAACCGACTTCTAAAAAAGAATATTTAGGTTTATGCGCGATATCTCGCTTTTCAGAAAAGTATTTGTTACACACTTAAGAGAAGGTATAGTTTAATTAGTTAATTAGCTCGTCGAGTACCGGTTTTGTAGACACAATTATAGAACAATAAGTTGCGGTCACCGGTGACCGCTTGGTGTTTGACAGTTTAGTATACTAATTAACCGACTTAAAAATAAAAGACGGGATTGAAGTCGGTTTCTTTAAATGTAAAAAAAAACCTGTTAAAAAAATCATAATTTCAATAGGTCTGGCTAACCTGCCCTTGGCGGGAAGCGGTGACGGAAGTGCCGCTAGACTTCACTCCTCCCATGGTGGCGTCATGGCGCCTGCTCACCTCAAACACGAGGAAATTCATCCATATTACACTGAAGTCCACTGTAGTACATTTGGTGCAGTTTGCTTTGACGGACCCGAAGCTGGAATGCGATGGGAACAATAATATGGTAGCTGATTTGAACCCTAAGAATTCTGATCATATGGTAAGTGATTTGTTCCATCATTCCATATTTTTCATTTTCTCTTTCTAAGTCTTTATTGTGGAACAATATCAGTCAATGTTGAGTGTTAAAATCTAAAGCTAAGTATTATGTAGACCAAAAATAGCCTCCAATCGCAAAGTGCCGACAATGTAGTCGCTAAACAGACACAGACAGAGTGTGGGAGAGCCATGTTTCGGCACAAATAGGCCGGCTAGACTGGAGTGATACCCCCCCCCCCTCACCTTCCACAATCTACCCTATCCCTGATTTCCCAACAATCCTCAAACTCCTAATCCCCAAAAGGCCGCTAACGCAATCGTAACGCCTCTGGTGTTCCAGTTGTCTATGGGCGACGCCGATTGCTTACTATCAGGTGATCCATGTGCTCGTTCGCCAGCTTATCGCATAAAAAACACCTTGATTCAAATTTCAAAGCTTTATATTGGTAAAATGTTAATAACACGCTGAGGTCTATATGTAGTGGTTTATTTTTAGTTCAAAATTTCGTTCGCAATAATTGACTTTGACTAGGCCTCAACTCAGCCTGTACAAACTTGGTAACTCTAAAAATGCCTCTAAAACATATTTTATACTTACAAGAAATCTATTTAAACAACCTAGTATATTCCCTATCTAAACAACACCTTCATGTTCCAGATGGTAGCGTCAGACGGTACAACAGCTTCATTCATGTGGGAACTTCTAAAAGACCCCCTCGTCAAAGGAGGTCCAATGAAAGCAACCTTCTCAGTGCACTACCGACCTTCAGACGTGGAAGGACCTGGCAGACAATTCACATGTCCTTTCGATATACAGGACTATACTACGTTGTTCGTTATTAGGACGAAATTGGAACCTAGTAAGGGTTCTGACTTTTGCAGGGCTTCGCAAATGTGCTGTTTACAGCTTAGTGTGCAGAGGGTGAGTTGTATTTTTTTTTCTAATTATTAGTGCCATCGACTGCTTCCTTGGCCACATAACCGCATGTAGTCATTCGTGGCATGTGCTCAACCACTATGCAAGGCGTTTTCTGTCTGATTCCCGAGAATTGTGCCCGCATATTATTCTCTAAAGTGGGTTTAACACAATATGTATTTACACCTCTGCATACCACTTAACATATAAAAAGCGTGATATAATGTATGTAGTTCCACATTATAGGGATGACCACAACTTAATAATTTCAGGTGAACGAAACGGAATACACGTCGCTTATGTACGAAGTGCTTGCTGATCAGACGATGTGGGCGGTGCTGGGCCGGACTGCAGGTAAATAGCGACATATTATTTGATGCTGAACCCAATAACAGTTCGCAACACACTTAACGTAACTTTTCTGGCTTTGCCCACTCGTCCAGTCGTTTCTCTGTCTGTTTCTTTGCTACCTACGGTAAAATGGGGTGGATAGGGATCGAGAGGTGAATAGAGACTAAAGAGGGGTGAATTGATATTGGGAATTTCTTCATAGTATCAATTCACCCCTCTTCTGTCTCTATTCACCCCATTTTACGGTATCCCATAAAGAACTAAAAAGCATATTCGATTCCATTCCAGGAGTACTGACAATGGAGTGTACTAGCACGGAGCCCCAGAGCGTGACGCTGGACGTGATGCCACTCGTGGCCGGCTACCTGCCGCTCCCCACTGTCCGACTGTCCAAGTACATCGCTGCTAATACCAAAGGTACACATACAGTTTAGGAATTTGCCAATACGTTACTATTGAGTTTTAAACTGTCAAACACCAAGCGGTCACCGGTGACCGCAACCTATTGTTCTATAATTGTATCTATAATGACGGTACTCGACGAGAATAAAATTGATGAAAATGAAATAATCAACGTCAACCAAATTTTTGCACGTGATACCTATAATTTTGAACTCTATAAATAATATCTTTAATATAATAATACCCATCTCGCTTACCAAAAAAAGGTATAAAAAAAATAAAAATAAATGTCGGTGGTATCAGTGGTTTGGTGAAGTTGACTTTAAAAATGAAGTTATAAGAATTGGGTTGACACAGACTGACACAGGCTTCCTCGTTAGGCGTGTGGTCGCAAGTGGGCCTCCTCGACAAGGGGTCTCGGGTTCCATTCCCGAGTCGAGCAAAATATTTTTTTTATTTCTCACTTGTTGTATGGAGCTTGGAATTGTGTTCGGTATATGGCAATAGGCTCACCCCTATTACATGGGACACATAACATAAAAATAGTGAAAAGTGGGTGTTACGTTATAAAGTGGCATTAAGTGTTGTAATGTGTACCTCTGCCTATCCCTTCGGGAATAAAAGTCGTGATGTTATGTTTTATAAGATTTGCAGCTGAGTAAACTAATATAGACCTGTGTTTTATTTCTCACTTATTTGTGTTGTATAGCTATTTACTATTTAGTTATATTCGTTAGACAAATGATTCGAAAAAAGAGAGTTAATGACGAGTTTCTTTTTTGGTATCAATTAAATGGTAAATTATGTGATGAAATCCTCTCCTTGTTAACAATTCAAAAATCGAATTTTGAGTTATTTTCTAGAAATATTTTTTCATTAAATCTTATCTCCATATTGTAATTATTCTCACATGTCCTTATAAACAAAATCAAATCTAACCACAAACATCCCACAATCTCCACAGATCCAAAGAAAGATATTTCTGCGCACCCTCGACTAGAACCGTTCAGCCCCGGCCAAGTCTACCACGCGGGCAAAGCGAAGCAAGTCCACGTCCTACCACCTATGCCCAAGGAGCATCTAGACGTCATAGCTAACTAAACGTAAGTCATAGACCAAAATTCTATGAGCATCATAAATAAACTCGCTAGATTTTGTAGAAAAAAATAAACAATAATTTCCAAGCATTTAAAAGACAGTAAAAAATACTTGCGAGTTCTATCTTGTCTTGAAGAATATAAACTTACTATTTTAAAAATCGACTAAAAGGAACAACACTAGAACTGTCAAAATACATAGATTGTGAAAACAAATACGTCCATTGCGTTTTTTCGAAATGTTATTACATTGCCAGGCTCAATAAATATGTTCTATGTTTTCTTAAATGTTAATATTTAAATAAATTAATAAAAATTGATAATTATACCTACATTGGTGTTTCGTGTTAGAGACAAACGAATTATTTGTATGCTTAAAAGTATTTTAAATGTATATTTAATAATGTACGGCGTAAAAGACTATAAACTTCATACTTCATGGATGTTATTTGGACATTATTTTCAATAAAACGTGGTTTCACACCATCGGGGCTGGTAGTCTCAACGAAAGTAACAAACAATCTGCAAAATTGATCGCTAAGTCATTGATTTCATTAATGAATTTTCAACTTTCTTCCAAAAGTATACGGTTGCAAATGCATTAAAGAATTTCGCTACTTAACGACCAACTTCTGTTGCGATAATGTTGAGATTGCCAGCCTTATTCAATGTGCTCTTACAAAACGCACAAAACTCACGTAAAATAATGCTCATTATAATCCATATAAAAAGAAACAAAATACTACCACTAAAATCTATTTGAAGTTAATAAAAATGCTTCGATAAGTATTGTGAAAAAATATTTTCTTGTAAGAAAAAATAAAAAAAAATATGGTTATTACATTGGTACATTTTTATGGATTAGCAATCCACGGACAACACTCTTATGACCTCTTGCAAGTTTGTGAGTATCTACGAGTGCGCTGATCGCTTACCTCGTTAGCTCGTTTCTGATTTTCATAATTCCTAGTAGCAGCACAGAGTTTCTTAACGTATTGATTGTATAGCAAGGGAGACCAGTATCACCATTTTTATTAAATAAACGAGTGGTCTTATGGCCGTTTTCAACTACCAGCCATAAACAATATTCTAACTAAAAGTTACTAAGCGTAACGTAGCACCTAAACAAATCCCTTACTCGTACTGATAGGTAAAACAAAATATCATTAAATGTCACCTATCTTAGCTTAGGGGTTCCTTAAAATTTGGTCTTACAGACTTATACTACTAAAAGGAACCTACAATCAACTAAATTAACGAAAATCGCGGGTTACTCACGTGAATATACTGAGAAACGCTCTACTAGTTTCGAACCACAGAGGGGTTCTTCTTCATGACGTCGCGCAGCTCACTGAACCTACAATCCTTGAAAATATACCAATGTTCAAGCCATTCAGTATAATAAGTAAGTGTAATAGTACTGCTTACTGAATTCTATGTGAGTATATAAGAAACGGACCACCACATGTGATACATACGCTACGTGAGGTTATATGGGTATATATTATTGTAATCCTATTATATTGTTATTAAAATTATATATCGAGTGATCCACGGCTTAAGAATTTGGAAGGAAAGTTTAATAGTCAATTCTCTAACAAGTAATACAAGTATTACTGCCCTTCAGTTTAGCTTGAAAAATATAGTGGAAAATGAAACGAAATATAGTCCATATTCATTTCTCCCATTCAGTAGGTGTATATACAACATAATCATGTTATAATGGACTTTTAAATTCATAAAGTGCGGTATTTTCGAGGTGTAACTGGTATACAGACAATGTTTCCAGATTTATTAAGCGTGGATCATCTCGTCTATGTAATACATTCTTGCAGTTACATTTATTGTTGCTTTGGCTTCGTTCATAGAAGAAATGAATCACAAATGCTACTTAACTGTAAATACAAGTTCTTAGTTTGTTAAGTGGTCGTAAGTATTTTTGGGTATTTTCAACTCTTGAAATTAGGACACCTACGTGTAAACGGTATGCGCCTTCTTAATTTTATTCCTTATTTTTCTGAAAATTAAACGTGTTTTCACCATCACCTGTCGGCGTTTTTCGGGAGCGTTCCATTAACACTCTTTATAATATGCATATGCATAATAGCATCTGAATCTGGATTGTGTTGATTTCTAGACTTAACTGTAAATGCCTTGGATACTACTTAAAACCGTTACAAAGCATTTGTGATTAATTTTTTCCAACCTTGTGCCATATTGTCTCAAATATTATTCTTATTACTTTCAATACATAAACTTTCATAAACAAATCTTCGATATATTTACAAAAAAAGACAATTAACTTTCATTTTAATTGATTATTTCTTACTATAATAAAGTTTAAAGCTAAATAAACGTACAGGGAAACAATGCTTATGCCGCATACCACTCATACATTCAATATTAGATCTTATTTCACGTACATGTAGGTAAATAATTATATAGCTAGCTATGTGTTAGAAATGTGACGTAGTGTTCTTGTACGAACAGTTATTTTTGGTGATGACTCGACAGATTTTAATGTAAGAAATAATTTATAAACTCAATTTTAAGTCTTATGCTTTACGTCTTTTGATCGAAATTTTATTGCTTTTACTTCTTTTGGGAACGTAAATGTTAGTTCTTGCGAACGTAATGTTAGTGTTTCTGACACTATAAAAATGTCCTACTTAATTTACCTGAGCCTTTAGCCAAACGCCACTTTAGCGCTTGTCTAAAGAGAGAGTAGAAATCAAAATGTATGGGGATGACACTGACAAGTGTCAAAATTTACGTCAATTCCATATAATTTGGTTTTCTATTCTACATCTAAACAAGCGCTAAATGGCATTTGGCTACACCTGCTGATCAAGAAATACGGATGATTTTGAAAAATACATTCAGCGAAGAAAGTGTCTCGAAGTTTTATATCCTAACTTTTTTATGAAATCGACCATAAAATACAAACTTAACTGCACACAACATACCAAGAAAGAGCGGAAATTCTAAATCTCCACTTGTTGGATTGATCCGGAAACTTTACATAAAGTATAAAACTTCGAGGACTTCTCTCCTAAAAGATTTTACTACATTTTACGTAATATTCAATCAACGCCATATTAATTTCGCCACAACGATTGATCTACCTAGTCTCCATCTTGTCTCTTCTGTGCGTATAAGTTGTATATACAATTTGGTGCTGGATATACATATATACAAATAGTTGTTACACCAAATTCTTCATGATATGTTCAAGTTAAGTTTCTTTGTATATCTTGTTATAATCTCAACTAAGTTATTCTGGTGCATATAATTATTGTAAGATTTTGATTTATATATTTCTTTTAGGTACATAGGATATTGTAGTTATGTGTATTTTGGTTTAAAATGGAATTTAAAGTATAGGGGATGTTTATTTGTTTGTTAACATATTTCATGAATAAACTAAGTCGTCAAGATAACAAGTATGATAACAAGTATAACAATATACAACTATTAGTCCTCTAATTGCTTGGTTAACTTAGAGCAGCCAATCAGAGCACCGAATATCATAAACGGGGCGATCGCGCTAACGTAACACAAATTCGCACTCATTTCGCAGTAAGGTACTGAGGATAGAAGACTAGAGACTAGAGTAGAAGGTACTGTCCTCAGTACCTTACTGCGAAATGTGTTTAGTTTGACTAATTATTTGGAAAAACACTTTACGGTCTTCAGGCATGTCGATAGATCTAGAACTACAATCAGAATAGTCAGAATTCTGTCTCTTGCTGTCTCTTCTTAACTTTCAAATTTAATCTGAAAGTTCTTGAGTAATCTAGTAATAACTTGATTGGCGAGACTGGCTGTAAGACAATCATAATCAATTCAAATGGCAATGCGACAACTTGTGAAATATACATCCCTATACTCCGATTACCATTTTAAATAACGTCACGAATATTTATGAGCTTTGTCTAGAGTAAGTTATCCAAAGAATAATTTGATGTAGATACACAATCTGTTTAGTTACTAATGCTAGCCATCATAGTAATTATTTAACTAAAAGCAATGCAACTAGCCAACTGTGTTCGCAGCACTTCCACAGTCAAATAAACATGTATGACTGTATTTGACAAAGAACGATAAGTATACTCAATAGGTATGACATATTTTTTTATTTTTTTAACTATAAGGAGCTTAGACATTTCGTAAAGATTGCATTTCAATAATTTGCAAACTTATTGCTGGTAACATTTTTTTTGGTCAGTGTTGCAACTTAATGAGATGTCATTCATTATTTTTATCTTGTAGCATGGTTAGAGTAAATATATTATGATCATAGTTGGTTACGTATGTAGTTTTCATTAAGTTATTGAGATTTCCATAAAAATGTATTTATTTTGATTTTGTAAGTACCCTACCTACCCTACATCGGTGGTTTGACTAAGATGCGAGTTAAAAATAATCGCCTAAGTCGAGTCTTATTAGTAATCACTGTATTTATTGATATTTTGACATTTATTGGTAGTAAACAGAAATAAATGGGAAAACAAGTAAAAAATATGACGGTAGAAGTTTTGATTAACACAATGTCGAAAAATGTGAAAGATTTATTTTCATTTGGTTTTGTAATTTGTTATGGTTGACCATACTTTGCTAGATGACGATATGAAGAGAGGTGTTAATGTAAATAGACGTATGTACTGTATAACTGCAGATTGTATTTTTGTTTCATACTATGTATTATATCTAAAACTACGAATATATCGTTTATTGTTAGCGTCACTGTTTTATTTTCCTCAAACCTTGACAGTTATGTGTTACTCCTATCATGCTTCTTAATCGTAAATATCCAACTAACACGCAAACGTAATATTAGAAAGACTAATACCGTTTTCAAGAATTAGGCCACCGAAAGACTGCAGAGAACTGCTGAACGATACATGAAAGAACCCTAAGGATAACACGAGGGGTAGACGTAGAAAACATTAATAAATTATAAATCAGGAGACCTACATAGATTTTTGCATCTAGGAACAAAATTCGCAACTTGCATTTGCATCCCATCCCTCGAATCCTTGCTACTTTCATACGACTGTAAATAAGACGACTCCAAAAAATCTATATCTGCTCATAAAAATAATCAGAAAAATAATGTGAAGTGGGCGGATGAACTTTCGGATGCGAGCGGGTTGGAGTGTGGGGTGAGGCAGGGGGTTTGAGTTCAGCCTTGCTCTTCAACCTGTACGTAAATGCTCTGGTTGAGAAGCTCAGCGGCATGCATGTCGACTGTTATGTTGATGGTGTCTGCTGTAACAACTTCAGCTATGCAGACGACATGGTGCTGCTGGCTCCGTCGATTGGGGATCTCCGGAAGTTACTCGCAGTTTGTGAGTCTTTTGTGGCCTCACATGGACTTTCTTATAATGTGAAAAAGACTGTCTACATGGTTTTCAAATCGGATCACAAGAACCCGCCTATTCAACCGATTGTTTTGGATGATGTCTGCTTAAATAAAGTAACTCAATTCAAATATCTTGGGCATTGGGTTACCGATGATTTAAAAGATGATGTTGATATGGAGAGGGAACGCAGAGCATTGTCGGTTCGGACGAATATGTTGGCACGCAGATTCTCTCGTTGTACAGACGCAGTTAAAATAACATTGTTCAAGGCGTATTGCACCTCACTGTACACGGGAAGTCTGTGGGTTAACTACACCCAGAGAGCGTACAATGCTCTGCGCATCCAGTATAATAACTCGTTCAGGGCACTGTTGCGGCTTCCACGTTTGCGCTTTTCCACTGTAGTGCGTCAGCAATGTTTGCTGATGCTCACACTGATGGATTCGCTGCTAAGACTTCAAAAAGACTGCATCGCTCATCAGTCGCCTGCGTGGAAGTCGACACAGTATCCTGACTGCTATAGTCGAGAGACATGATTGTCCATTGATGCGTAAATTAGTGCAGCGGACTAAGTCCCTGTTTACTATTGCATATTAATATTGTATCTAAGTATAGTTATATATTGTGTTCTTTCTTTACTATTATTTCGATGGATCTCAGTTATCTGAATAAATAAACTTTATTATTAATATTATTATAAAGGAGATTCAACTGGCTTTGGAACTTCACAATATAGAAGAGGAAGTATAAAATAAAATAGACGAATAATTTAGAACACGCTATATTCTCGAAACATTGGAGGTCGCGTCGTATCGCTAACAAAAACCTTATACCTTAACCATAAGGTCTTTGATCGCTGGGCAAATAAAAAAATAACAATTTAGTCGATTAATTTTATACAACACTATCGTCCGTTTTATTTCTGTAATAGAAAACGTACCCATCTTCAGGGGAACCAACTTTCACAAACTAACATTACGAGTTCGTCATTGGTTAATTGATTTAGGTTGGCAGTTGACTTGCGATTGTGATTGTGAACTGTCGAACTAAATTGATAAGTTTGTTTTGTCACAAAAATATGGTCATAGTTTTATAAATTCAGCGAAATCATGAGATAAGTAGTACCACATGTAAACCTACATTTGCAATGTGTCAAGTGAATAACGCATAAACATAATGAAAGTCGTGTGGATCATGTTGTGAAAATGCGAAGTGTTACATTCGGATTTATTGGATGTCACACGCGATTGTAATCTTCGAAGGGGTCTCCGTCTCTACGAAGAACCGTATCGTTTTCATTGTGGATAAGTTACATGTACGCAGCGGGAATGACAATAATGGCAGTTTCTGTTGGCGAAATTTGCGAGAACACGAAGTTGGCGAGGGAGATGGCACTGATGGGGAACTATGAGTCGGCGCTGGTGTACTACGAAGGCACCGTGCAGATGATCCATAGACTGCTCATCACCATCGCGGACCCTACACGCAAGTCCAAGTGGCAACTGGTGAGTACCACTTGATTGCATCTCGAAGTACTTGGTTGGCTGCTTACCTTGAATATGAACGTTTCCTTTTATGATAAGCTGTGGTGCTAATTAGTTGTGCGATCGACAAGAAGGCGGAAGGCCACCCGCAGCGTTCACATAATTTTCCATGTTCGTTTTGTTTATGTCCTTTTTTGTTTCAATTTAGGTTATCTGTGTTTGTACTGGCCTGTGCTTAGACCACACATTTACTACAGTACTTTCAAAATAACAGACTTTTATCTTTACTTTTTTTAACTTATTGGAAATCTACATATTATTATGACATACAAATATTTTTTTTATTGATTAATCAACTCAAAGTGGGTAGTTTTCTTATAAGTGCAATATAAATTATCTCTGTTTATTATTAAAAGTAACATTATAAGATTACTTAAATATAATTGAATCACAATTATTGCAGTTCATTATTTAGTGTACAGTTAATCTACATTTAAAAGAAAAGTTATGAATCATGAATGGACAAAAGGACACATGCGATACCTCTTATACAACTGACAAAGACATTGTTACAAGTTGCACTAAATCAGGTAAAAACACAACAAAACCTGCTTGGGAATAAAGAGAGTTAATACAGTTACTCATAACAGCATACAACTAACAACATAATTATAATATGGCTCTCATCTAAATTTTATTAAGTGGTAAGATCCACAAATCATTTTGTCAATATAAATATGTTTTGAGTGACTACATTATTCACCTGTTGTTTCTATATAAACTGGTATAGATGTAATTAATATGTAGGTATCATTAATATACTCATTTTTGTAGTTATCTTCCCTTTTATGCCATTAGTATAATATAATAACGATTTATCCTATTTAACTTCTTAGACTCTACTTAAACAAGAACATGCTTGTTAGGGATATTTTTAGAACTAAGAAACTAAATAATTTGTTCATCGAATTCAATGTAGAACAGATTTAATACTTTTCATTGACTATTGTAAGGCAATCAATAATAAACATGTTAAAACCGATAGGTACTAAGTTACCTTATTATTCTTTTATTAAGAAAACAATAACAGACATGTTAAAACCACTACAAAATTACTTTATTGTTCTATTTTATCAGTTACAACATGATTGTCTTATAATACTCATTATGCATTTCATAATCCTAAAATCCTTCAGTATGATAACAATATAAAATTACATGTAATTTGTAATTCAGTGACGCTACACTCTTATCTCGGAGCTTGCTGCAAGAGTAATAAAACTGTTTGATAAGAATCTTATATGAATCTGTTATCTTATTAACATTACCATATCATTATAATATTAAATAGGTATCTTAGTTCTATCTTCTATGACACCTATATCTCTAGTAAGGTTTCAACAGCCTTAGTTTTGAACCAAAGTTATTTCTCTGCATTATTTCACTATAATCATTGTAAGTATATATTACTAGGTTTTAAAAAAAATCTTAGTAGTACCATGGAGTCTAGAATTGTGCCCCGTATATGGCAATACACTCATCCAATTACATGAGACTTGAAACATAAATCGTGAAAAGTGAGTTACATTTTACAGTGCTGTAATATGCACCTCTGTTACCTTTTCGGGAATAAAAGTCTTGATGTTTGGTTATGTAATTGTAATTTAACATCTGTGCTTAGCTGGATGTAGGCCTTTGAATTAACACACCTAATTAAATTGATCTCCAAATCTTTGTATCCATTACTGGTATAGAATCAGTTATTTAAGAATTTCAAAGAAACAATATGAAAATGAGTTATTGCTTTTACCTTTTACCTCTTTTATCTTTTTCCATAGGAAATAATGTTCAGGCATAAGTCACTGACCTGTAAAGGTTCAAGGAAAACAGACACCAATAATTCTATCTTCTACCTAACCTTTGTATGAAATTTCCATTCATCCAATCATGTACTTAGTTTACCATATTCACGGTAAACAAAGAAATACCTATTTCTATGGCATACAGCCGTATACTATTGCTTCTAAATAATTTAACTGAACTGGACAGGTGTACTTGTTAGCTCCTTTGTGTACTTTAACACATGGTTTTAATGACAACATAAATGTACAGTTATTTATTTTATTTTAACATTACTTACTCATGGGTTTAAGTTGACATGATTTATAGGTTTCTATTTACTTATGTATTTACATACATACATTTTAAAAGGTACGTCTTTTCTATGGTGGTTGACAGAAACCGTAGAGTGCTGCGCTAAGTATAATTGTTTACTTATCATTGTTTCATGCAACTAATTGTTCAAGCACACAGTTGAGAGTAGTTACTTAACTATTATAATCCTTTTTTGCATCTGTTGTTTCTAATACACATATAACGTCACACCCTTTATCCCTGAAAGGGGCAAGATGTGCACATAACAACACCTAATGCTACTGTACAATGTCTCATGTAATAGTGGGTGAGCGTATTGCCATATACCGAGCACAATTCCAGACTCTGTGCTACTACTGAGAATTATTTAATAAACCCAGCATTACTTTGTCCGACCCGGGAATCGAACCCGAGACCCCTTGCCCAGCAGTCGCACTTGCGACCACTCGGCCAATGAGGTGGTGCTTCTAATACACATAAATTAAATATCCAATTTGAAAGAATATAATACTTACACCGTACCTGGCTAACAAAAGCTGTGCCACAATCCTTATTTCCTTACTAATATTACAAATTGGAAAGTGAGTTTGTTTGTTTGTTTGTTTGTTCCGCTTTCAAGCCGTAACTACTAAACCGATTGCTTTGAATTTTTGCAAACGTAAAGTTAGAAGTCTGGATTAAATAATAGGGTACTTTTTATCCCGGAAAAATTTGATATTCCCGAGGGAATACAAAAGCATTGGTATAGATGGCGCTGTGTGTATTGGTATGTCACATAGGCTACTATTTATCCTTTTGTGACGCGAACAAAACCGCGGGTAAAAGCTAGTACTCTATAAATACAGAACAAAGATATACCTCAACTAATCTCCGAAGAATCTACATCAGTCCACATCTGATTAGCCATAAAATACTAATGTAATTGGACATTGAAGTACAGGCACTCATTGTCTTAACTCATCTCATATCTTGAGCGGAAAGATAAACCCTAGTATATCATGCATTTTATGAAAGTGCAGTTGAGTCAGGAGTGTGAGTCAGTCAGTCAACTTATATGCACAAAGAGTCAAAACAGATATGCATTTATACGATTCATTTATTTGTTCACCTGATCATAGTATTCGTTATTGGCTGGTCCAGTATGTAAGTTCTATTTTTTATATATATATTTGACTAGCTACTTCCGCGCGGTTTCACACGCTCTGCTCAGGTCCTATTGGTCGTAGGGTGATGGTTCATAGCCTATAGCCATCCTCGATAAATGCGCTATCCAACACAAAAATAATTATTCAAATCAGACTTGTAGTTACAGAGATTAGCGCGTTCAAACAAACAAACAAAAAAACAAACTCTTCCGCTTTATATAATAGTATAAGATGGGCCGACGTTTGACTACTATCTCGCCTGGTGGTAAGCAATGATGCGGTATACGATACAGCACTTCGTCCCATCAGCCTCATCGCTTGATAAAATTGACGTGTAAAAGTGCTGCCTTGTAAGACTATTTGTAGAAATAAATTCACTTGTTTCACATAAGCAACCTATTCACTCGGGCCTTGCAAGACACCCAGATTCTTTGTCCTGTGTTATGTCTGCGAACTATGGGAAATCTGTAAATATCCTCATTTTACGATAGTCTTTTTTGTTCTCTGTTTTCCTTACTTGGGAATGACTGTTGTTTGATCTGAATTAGGAATATCAGTCGCAAGTTGTGTTATGATAATTAGTTTGTTTTCTACAGTGTTAATTATGTCAGACCTCTTTGTTGTCAGCTGCATTTAATGCAATATAATACTCGATGGATGATAATAATGTATTGTATGTCATTGTCATTGGGGGGGACTCTAGTTCAGCAGTAAACATCTTCTAACTGATTTGAGGATAATAACATGATACCTATTACAGATTTAAAAGACCTATATAATAAATGGAAGAATAAGACTTCGGCTTTTTCAATTACATTACCATTAAAAAGATTATAGATTCAGTAAGAATACTTTTTTTATATCAAGCTATTGACATCAAACCTCCACAAAACCAGATACGATTCATTCCTTATTACACCTGTTGGAAGTCTTACAGTCGTTTTATATACCCTAACAAGTGTCGTACGTTTCATACGACGTACGTTTCGGGATACCTTTACAACTTCTCCAAGATACAAGGTCAAACATCGCGAGACTCCAGACGGTATTTTTTCCACGAAAATACCCAGCACACCTTTTTTTGTTTGCTCGATCAAATCGGCCCCAAGCTCCAATCTTTAAGTTTTCAATTCTAGACGCACGAAGCCGTCTAAGACTAGGTATCTTTTATTTTTAGAATGGTTTTTATATAATCCATTACATGCATTATGACCAAGTTTTGTTCCATGACTAAATTGGCATTGAACGCGTCTATTACTTATTATATTTTACTCTGAAGGTCATTGGAAGTAATATTGTTCATCTGTTTAATATCTTCCTTGTCGTTTTTACAACAATTGTTCAACTTTAAGTACTTTTAACTGCTTGCCTTGAGAAACATGCATTTAATGGCATTTAATTCTCCGAAAAATCTTGTGCGCACTTATTTTCATGGTGCATATTAAGGAAAACGAGAATAGTAGGGCGACAGTTCTTGAAAAACGTGTTTAACTTAAACTTGACCTAGTAGCATATTGTATATAATCTACACCTATGTAAGTGTATCCATTTTTAACCAACTTCAAAAAAAGGAGGTCTTATTTTGACCTGTATGAATGTTAGTGCGCGATTTATCTTGAGATTGGCTGGAACCATTTTGATGCGGTGTTTACTTTCTTCAAAAAACGCAGTTTAGTAGTTCTTTTTTAACGCAGTTTATGAAAAAATTATTGGGTACAATAT